TTGCGCCTGTTTGGACAGCATCAATGCAACTCCTTGTGTATGTGGTGCATTTTCTTCTTCATGGACGGAGTATAACAGGAGCTCTCCTGTAGTTAGTCGTTGTTGTCCAACTTGTGTCCAATGTGTTTCACTGATCCCAAGTACCTCTAGGTTGTATCTCCTCATTTCTGCAGCAATCTGGAAGGCTCTTCCGGTGTCCCACATTGTACGGACATTCCATGTACCTAAATAAATGGTCGCTCTGGTTGTCAGAAGGGGCATCAAACCAGCAGGTCAAATTAATAAAACCTCCGTCTTCATTAACCGTTGAGAAACAAAGGGTTCCATCGAGGATGACATTCTTAAAATTTCTGAACATGAAATTTCTGACAACCAGCACTCAGACAATATTGCTATGTCACCACGCGATAAGGTCATCGTGAAGATAACCGAAAAACAAACAATATTATTCAACAGACACTATCGAGTACCGATACCCCATAAAATAGATTGGTATTCACTTTCAGTGAATAATCGTGAAATAGAAAACCGACAGATTTACCACGTCAAAGAATACTGAAGGACGAGCATCTGCGCAAACAAACGACTTGGTGGGAGTTTTGCTTATATTGAGAAAGTATAAAATTGGAATATCAGCAGACATTGAAGAAATGTTCCTTCAGTCACGTCTTCCTGAAGAGGATGAAAAAGATTTTAGCTTTCTTACAGAATCCAGACTACGGTTTGGACTGAAGAATAGCCGTACAGGTAGGTTAGACACACGCTCTTGCCCGTCAAAATCAAAACAAGTAATCGGGTAAAAAGCGGTTCTATAGTTTATCATAAATTTAAATGTAAATCGTTACTTATACAAATATTAACACCCGGCTATTCAACCAATGATTGTTCAATCAATCAAATCTGAATTACAACAAATAAAGAAGTTTATAAAAGATGCGGGAAAAGTGACCAGTTACAACAAATGAACGTTATTCTATCCTTACTGGATAGAACACACACAAAAGGAGGAGCAAATCAATACTGCTACCGCCAAGAACAAGTGTCAACTAAAACAACACAGATGCAGTTCGGGAAGAAACACAAAACTTAATGAAGGCGTAAGAAAAACGAAAATTATCATAAAAAATACAAATATTAAAAATTCAAATGTAACCAAAAAACTAACAACGTAAAACTAAGGGGATCAATAGGAACAAAGTACATTTATATACATGGAGGGATTTTCACACATACACACACACACTAAACATTCTAAACGGATCTCACTTCTTTAGTCTCTTGATGGTAATATTGACTGTCTCTATATATTTATGCGTTGAATGTACATCCTTTCAGGGTTAAATCTTTACCGTATCGTGCCATCTATGCCTTAAGGCGTACAGCAGTAGACCACTGATATTTAGTCAGTGAAAAAAAAACACAAGCCACCCTGTCATAAAATGTTTACGTGGACGATTGTCTTGTCTCAGAAGAGAAAACCTGTGAGGGTGCCGAGTTAGCGAATACCTTGAAAAGTCTCGTTTCTTAGGGGTTTCCGTTTATATAAATGGGTCAGCAATGTTAACGACGCTTTGAATGAGGTCACTATGGACGATAGGTTAGACAATCTGGTTTGTATACCGGGCTAGATTGAACGCATACAAAGGAATTTGGGACTTTGCTGGCACGCTCAATCCGATTGTTTTGCATTCTGTGTGAACTTTCCTGAACATCCGACTACTAAGAGAGATATTCTATCATGTGCGTCATCTTTATATGATCCGCTTGGACTTCTAGCACCTCTATTACTTACGCCTAATTGAATTCTGCAACAGCTATTTTTACGTAAAAACTACGGATGGGATGAGATGATTGATGAGGAGTTGCAATCAAGTTGGGGAACTTGGTGAGAAGGGATTTCAGGTGTCAGAGCCCTAAGGACACCACGATGTTTGAATATTGAGTCATCGGATTCAGTACAGATCTCGTTACATCTGCTTTCAGATGCTTCAGAAAACAGTTATGGAGCCGTGGCTTATATGAGATTGCAATTCAATGCAATTGTAACGAGATGAAGCTTCTACCTTCTTGGGAAAATCTAGAATAACTCCTCTAAAATTTGCTAGTGTTCCACTCCTTGAGCTGCAAGCCGCAGTACTGTCAGTGAAATCGATGAGGCAAATATTGGAAGAAATAAAACTGAAAGACCTGACTGAAATCTACTTCTGCATTGACTCCACGATAGTAATAAACTACACACTTAACACAACGTCACGCTTCAAGACATATGTAGCTAATAACACTAACTTCATTCACAAATAAACCAGGTCAACACAATGGAAGTGTGTGTCATAAACAATTAATCTTTCTGATTTAGCTTCTAGAGGAATGTGTAAGCAAGATTCTAACTGAACTGAAACTCGGCTTTCAAAACCTGAATTCTCAGTAACCGAAAGGAATAGGCGGCCTGAGTATAAAGGAAATGAGATATTAGGGTTTCCTGTCGATCTAAAGATAAACAACGCCACAGCGTTGACTAATAAGAATATAATTTTTCTTTTGATATATTTATATCGTATTTTTCGTCATGAACCAAACTCAAACAATGCTTAGCTTGGCTCACTAGATTCAAACGTTATCTCCACAAGAAAGCTATGGGTAGCGGACCTCTTTCGCCTAATGTATTGGACAATGCCGAGGACTTATTGAAATTCACTGGATAAAGCGGCACAAACATTCAGACAGTATCACTTCCAAGAATTATGTTATTAATTGACAACCTGATTCATGTGGGACTACGTTTGAAAAGCAGCGACCTCCCGATGTAGCAGAAGCACACGATTATTCTTCCTAGTAAGCACCCTATAACTGAACTCGTTATCCAACATCATCATCAAGCTGAATGACATATGTGGGTGTACCACAAATTAGCCACTTTATAAAAAAGATAGTGATTTTAAAGAGCACTGCTGCAATCAAGAGAGTTGTACATAGATGCATAGGACGTCGGATTAAATCGGCCAAACCAATGTCACAACTGATGGGAGACTTACCATCCACGAGAATAACGCCCGATTTCCATTCGTAACAATAGGGTAGATCATTTCCGCCCGACCGTGATTAAAGAGGGACGCAAATTCTGGAAGTGTTATGGTTACCTGTTTACATGTTTCAACACCCGAACTAATCACATAGAAGTTGCCTGCGCATTATCAACCGATTCCTTTCTAAAAGCGTTGTCGCAATATTCAAATCTAAGAGAGGTGCCGAAGACGGTATGCTGTGATAGAGGATTTACATTCGTTGGGTTAGAGAAGGATTTACAACGTCCATCACCAGATATGTAAGATAATAGAGCAGCTAAATAAATGACTCAACGGAACATAGAACGGCACTACTACACACCCTACGCAAGTCGTCGTGGAGGAATAAGGGAAAGATTAATAAGAAGCGTACGTAAAACGTTGAGCACAGTATCTAGTGAACAAACTCTGTCTTATGAGACAATCACCACCTATACGACTGAAGTAGAACGAATACTTAATGATATACGTTTGGTATCAGTTTGCCATGACCCGGAACATCTTGAAACATGGTCACCCAAGAACTCACTGTTGTTAAGAATACCTCATCTTCAACACATCGAAATAGACCTACGCGAACGTTATTCTCGACAATGGTGATAAGCACCCGTTGGTGAATAAATTTTGGTGTCGTAGGATAAAGGAATATTTATCACTCTTGCAGACGCGAACAAAGTGGACACAAGAAAGTCGAGATATCTAAGCTGGCGACCTGGTCCTGATCATTGAATATACTTATGTACGAACTAACTGGTTTAAAGTTCTAGCGGTGCGTGTCGATTCAGGAGAAAATGCTCTCGTCAGACAAGCAAAGACCAGAACGTTGAGAGGTATAATCACTAGTGATAAACGTAAAGTTTGCTCGTTAGAAGGAGCAGACGATTGAGTAGTAGAGTGTGGAATGACTTTGCGGAATGACTGTGGTTAAAGTGAATTATACCATTGTTATCTCTGATTGTTTCCACACTAAATATCTAGCCCGTGAGAGTAAGGAAAGATATGCTGTCCTTGGGCAGCGATGTTGAGTTTCTTTTACATTGTTCTTACTCGCTTCTCTTTCACTCTTTTGAGTATTCTTTTATACTACTTATTCACATTCAGTAAATAAATGTATTCCCAGTAAAAGTTACACTTTCGTTGTATCGCAAGTTGTCGTGTACTATTCTGAAATATTTACATACAATAATAACGTTTATTGTATTTACCTTTGCATTTATCATAACAATGACTTCACCTTTATCACTGTTGCAGTTATCTGCAGTTTTGTGCATTTGTTCTAACGCAACAGTTTCCAAATTGTTTCTCTATCGTTTCGGCTTTCATATGTTGATAAACTTACCAAATTTAGACAAATCTATCAGCTGTCGTTTGTACTACCGAAGCCTTTTTATTTTATACAAAATACACAAAATGTGGTTTGTAACTAATGTTTGTGTATTATTTAATAAAGAACCGCCATTGTAGACAAATCTTTGTTCTGCGAACTTCGGTTTTGCACGTATCACAATTGGGTGACCTGCACGCTTCGATAGACCTGACACAGTCAAGACCCTAGAAGTTTGTAATGGTGAAACATATGATTACTTTCACGGATTTAATACCGATCATTTGTATTTGCCCCAAGATATCTGGATTAATGCTGCAGCGCCATCGACATACGTGTATTAGGAAATTGGAATAACTGGTCAGGAAGCGGACGCAATTTGATATGACATTATAAACTTCAACATCATGTTTTAAGAACGTCATTGGATAGTTTAGTTTAAATTGAACCTGTGAATTAGTTATTAGGTTTATTTTTTAAATGGGTTGAGAATTCCTGTTTTTGAAGTGGTTTGCTTTGGTTGAAATTCAACAAATGCTTTTTACACAGCTTCAATCACACTTTATATGCCTTAAGAGAACAATATTTTGTTGATTAACAAAGACCATTTTGTTCATACTCAACGTATTTTATTTGACACTCTGTATATTGAATATTTTGAATCAAAACCCACAACAAAACTATTATAACGTCAGTGTTGTATGAATGAATACAAATATACAGTAAACGTTACTACGAGTTACTACAAGCAATCATTCAAAGTGCTGGTGTGAATATGGAGTAACATATAGATGTTCTAAGGCTTGATAGAATAAAAAGATACTAATGCTAACAATGACGGAAGTCGAAAGAATTATCTCGTATCGTTTATGCTTGAACAATCGGTTGATCTTCATCAACGCTACTGATCTATACTGAATGGGTAACAATTGGGACATTTTCTTTCAACCACTGAATAATGGCAGAATATACTTCAGTCCACTTCGGTTTTTCACTGGATATCTCAAATAAATATATGACCTTTTCTCGAAGTTCTGGGTCTATTTGATTATTAGCTTCTGTTAGGAGGATCTGTAAAGACAAAAATGTCATTTCATGTACAATTCATATGGAGCCAGTTCATAAACTTGACAGTTTAAATTTGAGATGAAAAATAGTGGACGTCAATCAGTTATCTAGCAAAATAACGAGTGTTTGGTTCGTTGTAAAAGAATATTGTCAAGTACTTAGGAATTTTAATGTAGATTCTGCATACATTCCTTCATACTGCAAAAACACTAAAAAGTGTTTACCGAGGTTGCATTATTGGTGAGTTTGACCTCTTAAGTTATGAAACGAACACTTGAAAATCGCATGATTGATGATCAGGATTCAATGCAGAAATGAATCAGGAAACGAGCACTGTAGAATTAAATTGTAACATTCTCACTCTAGACTGTACATAGAGAAATTACCACTAACTCATAGCTGAATAGTAAGGAGATTCTTCTTATCTAGTTCTAAGGATTTACCAAATTTTCCGTAACACACTACAGTGTAGTCACTAGTCTGAGTAGCTTTACACCGTGTTAGAGTTTGAATCATTTAGCGATAATATCTCGGACCGCAAATTGCAGAAATGCGTAGTTGACGAATTCGATTGCTTTCATTTTGTTCAGTTTAACTTCATTGAAACTGTTTACGATTAATGGAGTGTGTGCTACCGAACATTATCAGATTTGTCTAAATGACCACATTAGGAAAATCAAATCGCAGCATATAGGACATAACAAAGTAACACGTGTAAAGCGATGGAAAATAAGCAGGCGCTTCACTTACCTTTTCATAATTCCTTCCACTAAACAATGAGTAAGGATATTTAGCTAGTGCGTTTAGTATGGATTCCGTGAAGTCTCTGTGAAACAAAATTAGAGAGCGAAATACAAAATTAGTATGGTTATTTTCCATCAAGTATATCCATAGACGAATGACTGAGTACTTGGTAGTGCCAACAAGACAATACTCATATTGAACTAATGAAGAGGAAAATGCTCCGCACACTCAGGGAGTTGCTCTGATGCTGTCAAAGAAGCACACCAATGGGGAGGCAATTTTATAGACCAAGAAAATCAAAGCATTATTCGAAACAAAGAAGGTGAGAAGTACAATCAATTTTATCCTGTGTTGTGCACACACCGACTGAAGATTAGTCCTACAGGAGGCTGCAATCAATCATGACTAAGTGCTCAGGAAAGGACCTGATCATACTGACAAGTGATCTAAACACGAAAGTCGGAGTGCATAACAACGGGTACGAAGATATAGTGGGAAGACATGGACTAAGACGAATGAACACAAATAATGAGAGATTTGCACGTCCATGTGCATTCAACAAATCGGTTATAGCGGCACAATATTCTCACACAAATGCATACACCAAATTAAATTTGCCTGAAAGGAAACGAAAAACAGGCACATGACTCGACGATGGTGGCAAGAAAATGTACGAAGGCAGAGAGACCAGTCAGGCACAAAAAGGCGAGAAATTCACCGAGGTTGAAGAACAGAGAATTAGATGAGCAGAACAATTTGAGTAACTATTAATTAGGCCAGACCCAGATGTCACTCCACCAACCATCGAACAAATCAGGGTGGTCATCAGATAAAACCAACATCAAATTCAGAATCTTCAATACGAACGTCAAGACAGTTGCATTCTACTGAGCTTAAAAATCGAGAACTAAAACATCCAAAACCTAAATAGCACAAATATGAGTTATTTAAGGTAATATAATAGTCCTTGTACTAACTGTTTATTGATATGTTAATCAGATTAAAATTACATTTGCTGGAAAATTTGTATGAGATAAATTACTATGTTCATCAAAATGTTGATATATTTGATAGAATTTTTCATATGCGAAAGCATGAATGAAATAGGTCTACAAAATCTCCTTTATTGCAAACTGACATTTCAAGGTATTCGTATTCAATCAATCCCCTACATATAATGTATACCATTCGACTTCACAAGCAAATCGCGAACGTCTGAAGTCAACAAGCACCACCAACCTCATGACATTAATATGACATCAGTTCCTCACTGTCAATAGAAATTTAAACTCACTTATGTTTAATAAAATTATTTACATCACTCAGGTGGTCCCATAAAATTTGATTACCAACTGGAGACTTCGCGAAATAGTCAAGCGTGAACCACAAGTTCTCGTTCTCTCTTACCCGCTCTAAGTACCTGATGAAAAGATGAAGGAAATAATTAGCTGAGTAGGTGTGGTGTGCTAATTTAATCATATGAACATTTACATCTGTAGAATAAAAGGATATGGGGGCCAGGACTAAGGTATGGCCGATGAGATTTGTAGCTATGATGACTGGTCTTGACGACGATTCCTTCTCTTTTCATTGTGAATTCTATCCCTTCGAGGATGTCGTATTTTAAACTCCATGTTCTTGATGATGACGAATGTGTCGTGCAAATAACGAATCGACATTCTCAGTGTGATTACTGATAAATATGAAGCTTTCAGTTGTTACATCACCACTTTGTAATAAGTCTTGATATCGGTAGTCCCATTGATGTCGGTTTTGTTTGTCAGTGAACGTTATCGTTGAATTGAGAAATATTTGTTCAGTATTAATCGATGGGTTCTAGTTGACTTTAAACTTCAGTGTTCACTGACACGTTTTGAGTGACATATCTTGATGATAATCATGAGGTAACTGTTGATCCACATGTGAAATTCTACTGATCTCAGTATATCCACATGGAGTTAAATTTAAGTCGATTATGATATGAAAGCGAATTAACTGAAGTCAACAATGTAAACCACTAAGGTTTGAATCAGTTGTTCAAATTTGTCGTGTTCACTCGATGGTACATGATAGACTCGGTCCAAAAATGTGAGTGATATAGTTTAAAGAACTTTCAACCATAAATTAAGAACATGTCCCATGTTCTATTACATTTGAGGGTGAGTTGGGTAAATATTCATATAAAAACACATATCTTTCTAATTATTCAATCATAGTCATTGTCACACATACTTTCCAAAAATATCATGCAAATTTTGAGAAATCTTCGATCATAACAAACGCATTTAGATTCTGTGACCATATTCATTAGCTGATAGGGATGGGGATTCCAAACATCTAGTCGGGTTACCGTTTTCATTAACAGATGTGACAGTGAAATATTCAACGTAACAGAATAAGTTACCTTATCATAATTTCTTTATCACGAGAACAGGTTAAAGCCAGCATATTGTTTGCATTCTCAATCTCATTCACAGTTTCATTCAATATCAGCTGACGTTCTAAAAATGTCCATTCTTCTTGACCACCATGACGAATAGCTGTACAATAAGTAATGTCTCTCATATCAGGTCGTATGCTGTAAAATAAAACAAACGCGAACAAAAACATTACTTTCGTTTTCAGAGTTCATTAACTTTCTTGGTATAAGATCGTCAAATCGATTTCAATCTGCACGATTATTGTGTTGCGTTCATTCATATATTACACTTTCAGATACATTTATAAGCATAGTAAGTTAGTACTGTATGCTTATCAATATAGCTCGGACATAATAATAACTTAAATCTCCTACCAATTCCGGATGTGAATTTTCTTCATACAATCAATTTGTATTATTCCGAACGATCAAATTCGCATGCTTTAATTTGTTTCACGTTGTACTTTGAAATGAAAACATGGTTTGGACGTTTTGCACCTTAATATGAATAGCAGAACCTGCGCTCAAATATTTCACCTATCATTCCGTACTCTTTGAACGCTTGTCAAATTATATCTGCCCAATTATTTGCTCTGAATAATCGATCTCGTTAAGGCCATGAAACATCAAAAATCATAACTTATATTCGGTGGAATATCTCAACTTTGAGGTAAACCGGCTACGTTTCTTAACGATCGGTTGTGCACAGACGAAATCGCGATACATTAGATCAATAAACGTTATTTATTCATTTATTTTATTTTAACACATTGATATCGGTACAAGGAGGCATCAAATACATATGCGCCACACAAATCTCACTTGATGTGTGAGGGCTGTGATACTGCTAGTGAGCCCATACCAAATCAACTAGTTAAAATGAATCCGTCATTAAGAAACAACTACCTTGATTATGAAAATGCGTTTGACTTTGAAGATAGAGGAAGCAATACAAACCCTCTTCAAATTGTACTGTAACTGGAAGGATTGTCAGCATCAAACGGAATCCAGACTACGGATCACAATTCAATTTCATGCATGGCAGAGAGCAAATGGATGAATAGCAACTGAAAGCTGAGTACTTATTCTCTTGCTCTTTCTCCCTGCATTCAAATGAAATGTGACAACAGCCATATCTCAGGAGAAGCACGGAATACATTTGACAGCCTCGATTCACTTGGATATTTTGGAGTTAGTAAATGACTCATTCTAAACTGCATAAACTGCAGTGCGTTGTTCAGAATGGTGCAAAAAGGTCGAATCACTTAATTCGAAGAATTTCCGCAAATACAAGAGAGTTATTGTCGACTGATTGACAAATCCAGTTAGCACACACCATCCGTCTACCATAGGCATCAATTTTACAGCTATCCCACTACGTCCACTGACTTACAAGTTCTTTACATTCGGGAAACCATAACATTGACAAACTATTCATACTTTCGTGTTTGACCATAGCAACAAAAAACTGACCAAACAATCTATTTTAAGCTGCATTTTAAAAATTAGTTCAAATAAAATTAAACATAATATAAAGGTCTATTATACGCTAGTCTGTCTTATCATATAAAAATCATTAACTGCACGACTAACGGGTTCGTTTCGAGTTTCGACATCCATTGTCTGAAGAGATCCGTAGTTTTGTTCACACAAAGTTGATGTTCAGCTATACAAGCGAGTTTGATCACATTATAGTCTAAACGTCTAAAATCGAGTAAATGGTTGGAAAAATAGTTATTTTATATATTAGTAAATATGTACAAATATATAAATTATTTGTTTATACTATCGCCTTTATTATCATTGCGTTATTTAGATAGTTGATAGAGATAAAATATCACGGAGATGCCTGAAGATGTTCGTTGAGAACAACGGTTTATCCAATGTATTCGAGATTGCTCTGATTTTGTAGCTGAAACATAATGTTTTCACGTCAATAATGTTCCCACATGTTGCATTGTCTCGAAACCTGTCTTGTTATCTCTTTGGAAAAAATTGAATATCATTAAACTCACCAGTTGGTACAACATCGACGAGCTGGTGATTTCCGTAGTTTTTGACGAAATAAATTTTTTATCTTATTTTAACGGCGAACTGTTACCGTTTCCATTATAATAAACTTGAAATGAAAAAGTACAACTTTGAATATCCAATTAAAACCGTTTATACTACATGGATTTCAGATAACTATATTACAACAATACACCATTTACAGTTAATTAACGACTTCGTTCACGCAACAATAGTGTGTTTCTAATTACAGGAGCACACAAATTGAAGTGCACACTAACCAATCACTTAACCTTAAATTCGTTTATTCATTACCGTTCCAGTTTGATAATATAGTTCGGACGTTCCAAATACCGGTTGATGAATCTCACCCCTCTCATAAACCGTACATTTCATCTGTTTTCGGCTACGTTTTGCTTTAATTAGCATTTCTGATAATAATACTGGCAATTTCATCATATTCTGTTGAATGTCTTACATACAGAATGTTTCGAACAAAAAGTCTCCTGGGACTATATCAGTGACATGGCAGAGTGGAGACATATGAAATGAAAATATTACTACTCACATCTTTGGAAGATCTTGACCTTTACCAACAAATGACCAATTCGCTGATCGAATTCGGTTATCGATAAGAGTTCGCAAGTATGCTTGGAAATCTTCATAATTCTCATTCAGAGCAAGCACGTTATTAATGTAAAGCAGCGCTCGACTAGCTGTTATCCATACGATAAACTCATCTTCGCGGATTAGGTATTTTGTCGCGTCCAAGAAAAGAGTATACGGTACGATATGTTGACTGGCAAGGAGGCCAAAGCAAAACAAAATAGATAATTGTGAGCTAATCGCAAAGTGAGAAATAGGCTCAAAACGACTTCTTTGAGTAATTTGTTCACAGCCGAGTCTATAGAAGTTCAATATTTCACACTCGAACTCTGTGTACACAAGAGTCATGCTCAATGCTTTATTCTTTCATGATCTTAACATCCATTCAAATTTCGCAATTTACAAGCGCTAATTAATGCCTTATTCGTCCCCTGCTTGAATAAGTAGACCGGTATGCTTAACATTTATTTTATGGATCATTAGCTCTCATAAATTCAGAATCCATTACATAAGGTGACAACCTTTTCTGTATCACACAAAATCAATTTACATTTTTCGACTCCCACATGAATAAGTTTGACTATGTTTGACAAATATGTGAAACCCCGCTATTTTACCGTAGAGTACTACATGTAAAAATTAACAATAAATACGATTGCACAGATTTGGAAATGATGCCGTCGGAAGGAAAATTTCCTTTGATGAAATATCTTCATACCTTTCGGACTACTAGTCTGGGTATGTGATCGTAGAACATGAAGAGAATTTTTTGAAAAGAGTATTCTTCGTTTATATGTCTGTGTAATTATTTCACCCGACATGTTATATTTTTAATCAATATTAAATGAGTAACCAACCGACGGTGTTGACAGATGTTTTAAACCATATAGTGTATAGCGTATTTTAACTCTTTGAGATTATACCCTAACAGCTTTGCTTCTTTTGCAAACTGTTGTGTTAGTTAGCATTTCTGAAAGAATCGATTTCATATTATGGGTGGCATTCAATTATAATATCGAAGTTCTAAAACGTATTTCCCTTGCAATCAGATAGTATGAAATGTCGAATACTAATTGGTTTTACGTGTTTTCAATCAGTATTTGGAATCAAAGTGATTAACTAGCCTGATATTTTGTAACAGAATAAATATGAACCCAAAAAGAAATTGGTTTCTTTCCACTTCACACTTACTTTGCAAGACTGAATAAATCATTCAATATTTGTGCACGTGAAAAGACTGGAATAGCCTAGACATGAAAAAATTACATAAAAATTGAAATACCTTGTAGAACATTGAATCACAATTTAAAATACAATCCCTAAATTAAATGTGATTTCAAAAAGATCACATCTTAGTTTGCGTCACTAAATGACAAGCTGAAATTAGGAATTAACAGCCTAAAGCGAAATTCGATATATTTCGATGTACATATTCATGTCTCGATATGTTTTCATTCATACACTACTTCCATATATGTCTGACTGTTAACATATATTAATACATCTTTATTCTTACATCATTTGACCTGCTGTAAATATTGCATGACATAGTATTCCCTCTCACTTCGTATTTCTGCCACTCAACTTCTAAACAGTACGTAATCTTACGGGTTAACAAAACGAGTGACATGTTGATTTAATTCTTTCATAGGGATCATTTGTGTGCAAACGAAATCGCAAAGATTGCAGATAGACGTTGGACAATCAACTGAATGAAACTCGTCACTACACATTATACGTGATAACAAAGAGTGTGGTTGACATGGCTTCATAAAACCACTGGGTTGTGGCTAAGATAAAACTGAAACCGAAGTAAAGATGGACAACTGTATAAACAGCATTGAAATATCCAATGCATTATTTCTAGTAGATGCAGACAACCTTAACGAATTAAAAATGAATCTCAATAATGTATTTTAAGGTTTGAAATTCCACTCAGGCACTAGGAAACTATCATAGGGAACAGCTGAAAATGAGGCAGTAACTTTGACACGCCTGGAGTTGCTGGGCCGCAGGATTCCTAATATTGCTGTTTCTCTTCCGTCCATCAGTCAACTGAAATGTGGATACAACCGCGTCTCAGGAGAAGCAGAGAACAAATTGGACAGCCTTGATTCACTTGGATATTATGATATCAGTAGATGACTCAACTCTTTCATCCATGCTTACAAACAATCCAGGTGAAGGCAGCCAGTGTAGCAGCAGCCTCTACAGTAGTAGGCCTCAACACTCATAAAGAGAATAAGCAAGATCCTCAATAGAATCCTCAATACAAACATCGAGACGGTTCTAGTGTACTGAGCTGAAAATCGCAGAACTGCCATAGTCATCATCAAAAGCTACATGTGTTCATAAACAGTTGTCTGAACAAGACACTCAATATCGGTCGACCGGATATTATCAACAGAAATACACTGCAGCAGAAAACAAAGGAACTTCCATCTAAATATGAAAGCACGACGAGATTTTGGAGGTGGGTACGACAAGCGTTGTGTTCACCGTCAGACTGAATCTCGAGACAATCAGTCCGAATCCAGAAGACAAGAAGTACAGAGGAAGACCAATGAACATGTATCGAGAATTCAAGGCATATATCAAAAGAATTGGAAGCAATTGACGTCGACTGGAAAGGAGGCTAGGATAGAATAGTTTGGAGAGTCCTAGTGGGCAGCCTAGGCTGTTCTGAGTATGTGTGCAATTATATAAGTAAGTAATTAATTTAAGACGTCAGCATTTGAGTAAACAATCAAGTGGGTAAGTAAGTATTTAAATAGCTAATTACGAAAGTGCGTCCTTATGTCAAATGACAAAAAGTTATTTTACATGTGGCTTCGTATGCTTCATTGGTAAATGGTCATGCCGTCTGACTTAAGATGTGATGTGTTTCATATGAATTCATTTTAAGACAATGATTAAATTTGGATATTCACAATGAACGAAGATCCATTCTCGCTAGTTTATATTACAATATTTTGTATCGTTTATCACATTCTACAAAATTTATCATCATAATTATGCTTATTCATCAAATTCCACGTTCTTAAAAGATTATATTTAAAATATTTGATAGAATAGTTATTTATAACAGAGAGAAACGCAAGTGTTTTGAACAAACCGTGAAATTCCTTTGCAATTGATTGATTAATAAGATCCAGTTATTGTCAGCGTAGTGAACACGATAAAATCCGCCTTGGTTTACATTCACCAAATACCAGTCGTCTGGGCTTATGTTCATTGTTTGATTCATTTTGTCTTGCGTAATTGAGGAATAACCAAATAAGTCACTAATATTTTAACATTACTTATAATTTTATTATATTATTATTATGATTTAAACAGTTAAAGCTGAATGAATGCGTGGAATTTAAGTAATTATTTTCACCTCATCAATTTAATATTGAAGGGACGATGAACGTTTTCTTCTATGTAAGGTTAGAAACATGACTCAGTATAAATTAGTACTACACGTGTTGGATAGGACAACCATGTTCTCATTGTCAAGGAAGGCTCGTCAAACCGACTATCTAGCCTCAAAATGTGACGCGAAGTATGTGCAGGTATGTGAAGCATAATAATCATTTATACTAATGCAAACGGCAAAATAGTAGAATAGTAGAATAGTATTTCTTACTTTTCACCATCCACACAATATCGATATTTGTCCAGTTCACCGTTTGTTCTGACCCATAAGTGATTGGTATTCTCCAGGAGTATCTGAATGAAGCAAAGCGTATAATAATGAACATTCAAAGCTAGCAAACTATAAATATAATAATCAAAAACAGGCAGTTTGATCGAGTACCATAACAAAGCACATGTTGATAATGCTAGTTGATCGATAGAGGTCAAGTTGGATTTCAAATGTAAGTAGATAGGAATATCCGTTAGTTTAATCTATTACAAAGTATGTCCTATGCACCTCCAAAATCTTGTCTCTAATTTCCTCTCCATTTGAATGATGGTTTGTAGTCTCACAATGTAAACTGTTGCTGATTGTATCCGGTCAACGGACAGTGAGTATCTTGTGCAGACTATTGTTCACAAATGCTTGTACATTTTTGACGATGGTTTTAGTAGTTCTACACGTCGCCGCTCAGTACAACAGAACTATATCGACGTTTGTATTCAACATTCTGACCATGATGTTTGCTTACATACATTTGTTAGGAGTTCCATATGTACTTCAACTATAAGAACGTGATCATTGCTTTTCCAACCTTCGCATTCACATCTGCATCGGATCCTCTTTGATCATCGATGATGTTGAACAGGTGAATTTCAACAAAACACATACTACATTTCATGTTGAGCAGAGGTTATTTTAATTTAATACGAGTATATCGTATCTTGAATGAACACCATGCTGAAATAAATTATTGTTACAGGGAATAAAATATCACACTGGAAAATTAAAACAATAATACACCTATTAAGAAACGGAAGATATGTTGGTTGAAAATCGCAATGAGTCAAACTTCATTTCGCCTTTTTATCTCGTCACATAAGTTGGTAAATGGCAATGATTTAAGATAACCTAATGAAAATGTAGTGAGAGTAATACAGCAACTAGTTCATTCGCAAAACAGCAATCAATTGTCTCAAACTTCATTATTTCTTCATTTCCACACTAATCATTCTCTGTTCACCTTCTCTTCGCTTCGATCTTGGTAACATTCCGCCCCCAGGCATTCACTTTTACTTGATGGTACGTCCTAATTATATCTATCGACACCAGTACCACGCAACACCATAACAAATGTTGCATATATTACAAGCTCACTTTTCTTCCTATATAATCTCTGAATACGGATGTTGTCTAAATTAATATATGGTCCACTTACTCTCGATTTGTTTGAGATGACTTGTTACCATAGGGTTGAAAGTAACGTATCTGCTCAAAACTGAACACATTCGACCCATTTCTCTTTACAATCACTAGTGGATAATTCCTTTGTTTAGTCCAAGAATCCATAATAAATCCAATGTCCAAATGATTTACTTGAGTATCCCATTCCTGATATGCAATTAAAACGAAATTTTGATTAGGTTATTGGCCTCATACTTTTGATAAATAATATTACAGTATTGCAAAAGTTTTTGTGTTTCAATGATCTGCGGCGTGTTTCGAGAATAGTGGTGGATATAACTGAGTGAAGTACAGTTAAATTCACTCATTGTTTAAGACCATTCACTATAAGTTCATTTATTGGGAATGTAGTAGGTGGATAAATAGTTTATTGCAGCATGCTCAAGCATGATCACGTACACAAACTGATTATTGAGGTTCTACCACTGTAATTTCAATCGATGGAGTGAGTCAATGGATGAAACTCCAACAACTACTAACATGGAGTCTAGTGTTTTTTCAGAATAACATCAAAGAATAAGTAGAAACAGTGTGTGCGAACAGATAGTACATAGGAATATGAATCACGAAATTATTGATCTGATGATACCATAATAATTCGCGCGCTATTTAAAAAGGACAGTGGAATTTTCCCTCGCTGAGTAAATTTCATTGTTTTGATGGTTTATTACGTATCTAGACTACTGTTTTCACTTTAATTGAATTCATTTCAGTTAAAGTATTCGACTACAGTAACGTTTTTACCGTTCCCTCAATTAGTTTTGTCGTTGGTACTTTTGAGTACCTCATTTTCAATTGTATCTGTTAGTACTTTTGGTCCTAACAATCTACAGTTCTTCGCGTTTTGGTCATCGATTGTTTTTTGTTTCTGAGTATCATCGCATCTCGTTCCTTTTTAAAAAGGACTTCTTTTAAATGACCGGACAGTGTAAAAAAAGCAGTTTCCAACGTCCGGGTTGTCGTTATTCCGTTAAAAGCGGAATGCGGTGCAACGAGTGCAAAAACTGGTACCACGAAGTTTGCACGCCTGCGGCTTTCAGACGGTTCAGTAAGAAGGGTTGCGTATGGCTTTGTCAACAGTGTCGTTCGGATGCAAACAGCCTGTTAACCGAGGCCATCTCACTGGTTGATGCTGCAAAGAAGTCTTTAAGCAAGTGTAGTCGGAACACGTCAAACAGCACTCGATCTGTCGACACACAAATCGACATGAGACAAACTAAGGTTAGTTCGATAGTAAATGGCTCATGCCGGTCAAAGAAGGAAAAGCAGTCTCCAAAGGAGTCTGCCTTAAACAAAAGCTCAAGGAAAGTAGGTTCTTCTGTTCCCCGTCTCCCAGATGGGATCCTACAGTAAACGCCTAGAAGCCGCGATCGCAAGGCTCGATCGGTTTCAAGCGGTGAACATAACCTGACCTCTCAGGTCGTCGACAACCCCCTAGAATCCAACACTAGGTTTGATGCAACTGGTGTTGCTTCTCCCAGCACCATTAACGAATGGGTAAAGGTTGTAAGGAAGAAAAGTAGGGATATAAAACGGAACCCTGTTTCCGTAAAAGAAGTTGAAAAATCGAAAGCTGATCATAGAGACAAATCAGCTATTTTTTATAGAATCAGGGAGAACGAGAGCTCTGAACCTAAAGCTCGTTTTGAGTATGACATTGTGCTGATTAAGCAGCTGCTTAATCAACTCATGCTTCAGAATATCACCGAGGTCACCTTGCTAAAGGTGTACAGACTAGGGAGTCTAGCGGACTCGAAACCAAATCATTCCAGACTGCTTAAAGTAGTATTCAGCTCTTCGAACGAACGTGACCTAATTTTACAGAATAGACAGAAATTAAAGGATTCAGGAGTCTTCATACCAAAGGACTTACCGTTGGCAGACCGTGTAAAAAGGCGGTAAGCCGAAAAAGAACTACAACTTAGGTTAGACGCTGGCGAAAAGGACCTGAAAATTGTAAATTTTCGGGTTGTAAGACTTCAACAGCCACTCTGGGTGAAGCACGAAGGCACTTAAACAGGCTTCGGATCTGTTACACCAATGCACGAAGCTTACTTAATAAGCGATCGGAACTAGGTGTACAGATTAACTCTACAAAGCCAAACATAATCGCAGTCATAGAAACCTGGCTGACACAGGCTATAGATAGTATGGAACTTGTTTTCGAGGGTTTTACGTTAGTAAGGGCCGACAGAACACAAAAGCGCAAAGAACGGGGAGTAGCTCTATTCATTAGGAATGCTATCCCATTTGCCATTATCCACAGTGTATCCCATGAGAGTGGGACGTGTGAATTAGTTAGTTGCCGCTTGAAATGCAAGGGACAAGAGCTGTTGATTGGTTTGGTTTAACGCAGTCCATGCTGTGAGGTAAATGAAGTCCTGCTTAGCAGTCTCAATACTTGGTCACAAAGTGGTCGATGTCTAATCCTAATGGACTTTATTGCACCTATGGTAGACTTGGAAAATCTGCGAACTGAATCGTCAGAAAATTCTTTCGAGCAGGAACTAGTTGATGCGGTTATCACATGTGCTCTAGTACAACATGTGAAAGAAGCGACTAGGTGCGATACGGATACTGAATCATCCTTACTAGATCTGATAATCACTCACTATGAGGATGACGTTGCTAACCTTCATTATATGCCACTCCTAGGTAAGACTGATCACGCAGTTTTAATTTTCGACTTCCATATAACTGGCAGTCACGAGCACGCGTCAGTCCAATCCATACCTAACATCTGGAAAGCAAATATACCAGATACCATGCACTCAGCATCGTTAGTAGATTGGACAATAGACCCAGATTCCTCAGTTGAAACGGCCTGGGACGCATTTCGAAATTCATACTTAAAAGTTACCACACCCCACATCCCTTGGACTATACTAGGGGGCCGAGAAACTCCCCACTATGGTTCAGTAGGGAGGTTCGCATCCTTCTCCGTAAGAGAAGAAAAATGTGGGATAGAGTTAGGTTACTGAGAACTGATGAAACTAAATCTCAGTATAGAAAAGTCCGGAATACCTGTACCTCGACCCTCCGTAAGTCTAGAAAGTTGTACGAAGAAAAGATTGTTAAGGAATTCATAGAATGTCCTAAACGCTTGTATTCTTATATAAACCAAAGGACAAAGAGAAGAGGAAATATTCTTGCTCTATGGGGAGACAGTACTGCCGCGTCACTTTGGTAAGGCTCAAGTGTTCTCAAACTACTTCAGCAATGTATACACCATAGAAGCACCATTCCCATCAGCGCATACAGATCCCCCCACACATACATTGGATAGCGTGACCATTAAAGGACTTGATGTCTTTGGTCTACTAAATAAGCTTGACATAGGTAAATCCACGAGGCCCGATGAATTACATTCTTAGCTACTGAAGGAATTATCTAACTTCGTTGAGAACCCTTTAAGTATATGCTTTAACCTATTCGTAACGCAGGTTCGTTTACCCAAAGACTGGAAAAATGCCATAGTAAGTCCTGTCTTCAAAACAGGTACGAAACACAAACCTGAGAATTACCGCCCCGTTAGCCTAACTAGTGTGGTTTTTAAAATCTTAGAAAATATTATTCAGAAGGAGTTGTTTAAGTATCTCGATAAAAACCGGATCCTTTCGGAGAAGCAGCACGGTTTCAAAATAGGTTACTCTTGTCTCACTAACTTATTAGTGGCTCGTGAAAGCTGGTGCGCTTTTAAGGACCAAAAGTCACCTGTAGACGTAGCCTTCATTGATTTCAGCAAAGCTTTTGACAAGGTTCCGCACAACCGGCTGTTATATGAGTTAAGAAATGTCGGGATTGGAGGCAATCTATTTATGTGGATAAAAGACTTCCTAGTTTGGCGTCAACAAAGAGTTCGGGTGAACTCAAAGTTATCTAGCTGGGGAACTGTGCTTAGTGGAGTGCCCCAGGGCACTATTTTGGGGCCAGTGCTATTCCTCTTATATGTAAATTACCTTCCTCGTCTCCTATCATCATCGGTCTTGCTATATACTGACGATGTAAAGATATGGAGAACGATACGATGTGAGGGTGATAGCTTAGAACTCCAAAATGACCTGAAGAAATTATCTGAATGGTCTCAAACCTGGCAGTTGCCGATAAATACTTCCAAGTGTGTTGTGATGAATATCGGTCATCAAGGTACAGATAAATACACGATGAATAACACTGAGCTACCTGTTGTCCAGACACACAATAACTTATGTCATCGTTAGCCAAGACTTAAAGACTATTGCAAACTGCCGTGTAATAACCACCATAGGTTTTAGAACGTTATGGTCAATACGTAGGGCTTTTAGTCATGTCGACACTAAGACGTTTTTGACTTTATATACAGTGTTCATACGTCCTAAACTTGAGTACTGCATGCAAGCGGCCAGCCCCTGCTTAAAAAAAGACAGTGAGCTTCTGGAAAAGGTTCAGAGAACGGCAACTGAGCTGATTCCCGGAATAGCGAAGCTTCCATATGAAGCTCGACTGGCCAACCTGAACCTTTTCCCGTTGTCATATCGCAGAACTAGAGGCGACTTGATTACAGTTTTCTAATTGCTTAGTGCCGAATTTGCACCTGATATGCCCTCATTTTTATTGTCTTCCAAAACAGAGAATTTACGAGGACACTCCAAAAAAGTCCACAAGCCAAGAACAAACTACTTGTCAGCTGACTGTCGCCTTTCCCATCGAATCATCAACGAGTGGAACTCATTACCTCAACACGTGGTTGAGGCTCCATCCGTCGATTCTTTCAAAAGAAAGTTGGATCAACTGAGAGACCACCATTGCCAGGACTAACACAGGCCACCAGGCCTCCTGTCCTTCCCAAACTGAAACTGAAACTGAAACTTTTGAAGCATATTTCAAGGCGACTATTCTGTTCAGTAATAACAAAATGCGTGACGATCAGGAGAAATTATGAAACGAAATCAACAACAAAATGCATTACACCAAATGTTTTTGTATTAATGTAATAATCACCATATGCTTACTTCAGATAATGCCCTCCATAAATCCTTTTCATCTGTGTTCTTATATTGGTTTTGAATTAAATATCTCTTAAATAAATACAGAAAAACGTGTTATACAAGACATTTCCGGATTTCAATTTGCAAGTTATCATGAATTCAATCATAGGATTTAAGCCTAGACAGCAAACATTACAGTTCAGTGTTGTGTTTCTGCTTTCTTCCAGAATACCACCCACAATCATAATAAGTTTCATTCTGAAGTGAGGCTGGTGAACGTCATAGGAATAACCAAACTTTACCATCTAAAATCCACAAATCAGTTACTAATATCCCTTTCACATGGCTGTTAGAGCATTAAAAACGAGAAGTTCAGCCAATGGACACTTTTCAGTAAAATTAAGATCAAGCTATATATATTTATATATGTTTATGAATAAAATATCAAGCAGCAATTCAGTGACTATATATGAATAGAGAATAAACGCAACGATTTAATGGATGATCGTTCGACAAGTGTCCTTTAAAATGTCACATACAGTGATCTCTCTTACCATTATTAACACCAAACTTTTGAAATGATCACGATAAAAGTACTCCAAAATAAATTTTGTATTTTCCAAACCGATTTTATATTCAGAAATATTCACTCACATTAGTGCAACTGATGACAGATCGTGACAGATATACTGTACATAATTAGGTGGGATACAATCTCAACCAACGATCTATCAGATATAATGGTGAGTGAAGTCTGTTTAACATAATTCGTTTGTAACGACATATACATCGACTTGATATAAAATATCTCACTAATTTAGTTATAGTGAATATGGATTATGAGTTGGTCAGACAACATTTAATTTTAAAAGCATTTTTCATTTGTTCATGACGACATATGAGTTCAAGCTTTTTATTAAGTAGAGTGCCAGATGATAAAAACGTGTTATAGCGGTTCAAGGAGTACTTGTGTTGATGACTGTGGTGATCAATCAGTACTGGGTTCTGTTAAGTTACGTAGTACTGAGTAATAGCTAAGCAAATGATATGAGGACTATCTGTATTAGAAAGTCCCGAAGAGAACTTTGAAAATACTTAGTCAACGAAAAGAAATCAGTTCACTATTGAATGTGACCGTTGAGACTAGATTATATGACCCTCAGTTACAACAAAATAACCACTGTCAACGTACTTTTAAACCGTTTTGAAACGCACTACGGCCCATGAATTTCTCCATCATCCAAACCAAAGAGGCACCCTGTGAATTATCGAATGCAATGTAGAATATTAACATATATATGAAACAAGCAATGAATGTGTAGGTAAGTTAGATTAGTCAATCAGTTAACTTGTTTCCAGTCGAAGATAGGATGCAACAAAGTGAAGATACACTTATGAATGTTATTGTTTTTGAATAGAAAATGTCACGTGGTTGAACACTGAATACTTTCGCATTATAATGGATTCACACAAAGTGAAAGATTACGTGTACTATGGTTTGGTTGATTCACGTAAGAACGTTGGAGAATTATAATCACGTGTAGATTGTTTCATAATACTGAATTGGAAGTCGTTTCACATACTTGGCCTAACAAATGTTATGCAATCATTCAGGTGGTGACTGTTTTCTATCGTGTAAATAAAAAACTGGTTTTCGTAGTCTTAACCTAGATATAAAGTTCAAGTTTAAACATCACTGAAATTTTGTTGTGTAACCATCGTAAAACATACACAATTCTATTAATTGCAAATATGAGAGAATAATGAACTTCATGATTTCGAATGTCAAGAGTGTACTCAAATATTCGAATACATCAGTCACTGCCACAGCATTACTTATGACTTACTTACTTACTTACGCCTGTTACTTCTCGTGAAGGAGCATAGGCTGCTCACCAGAATTCTCCATCCAACCCTGTCCTGAGCAATCCTTTCCAGCTCCTTCCAGTCATTATTCATACTTTTCATATCTGCTTTGATTTCCCAACGTAATATGTTCTTTGACCTTCCTCTTTTCCGCTCACCTTTAGGATTCCAAGTTAGGGCTTGTCTCGTGATGCAGTTTGATGATTTGCGTAATGTATGTCCTATCCATTTCCAGCGTCTTTTCCTAATTTCTTCTTCAGCTGGAAGTTGGTTTGTTCTCTCCCACAGAAGGCTATTGCTGATGGTATCCGGCCAATCGATGTTGAGTATCTTGCGAAGACAGCTATTTATAAATACTTGTACTTTCTTGATTGTGGTTGTTGTAGTTCTCCAAGTTTCAGCTCCATACAGTAGAATTGCCTTGACGTTCGTATTGAAGATTCTCACTTTGATATTGGTTGAAAGTTGTTTCGAGTTCCATATGTTCTTCAATTGTAGGAATGCGACACTTGCTTTGTCGATCCTTGCATTTACGTCTGCATCTGATCCTCCTTGTTCGTCGATTATGCTTCCCAGGTATGTAAAGGATTCTACATCTCCCAGAGTTTCGCCATCAAGAGTGATTGGATCGCTGTTCTCCGCTTTGAATTTGAGGACCTTAGTTTTCCCTTTGTGTATGCTGAGGCCTACTGATGCATAGACTGCTGCCACACTGGCTGTATTTATCTGCATCTGTTCGTGTGTATGTGATAGGAGGGCCAGGTCATCTGCGAAGTCTGAATCGTCTAATTGTTTCTGAGCTGTGCATTGTATTCCGTGTTTTCCCTCAGATGTCGAGGTCTCCATAATCAAATCCGGTGTCCATCTTGTTGTGTTAATGAGGTATGGAAAATTGGACCGATGCATAAATGTGCCTGGTCCTACGTTGTAGCTGACTGACTGACTCCTCATAATCCAGTCGACCACCAGAAGAAAGAGGAAGGGAGAGAGTAAACAGCCTTGTCTGACTCCGGTCCTTACTTGGAATGAATCTGTCAGCTGTCCTCTATGCACTACTTTGCACTGTAGTCCGTCATATGAGTTCCGGATAATATTGACAATCTTCTCAGGAACTCCTTAGTGTCGAAGAAGTTTCCATAATGTCCTCCTATCTACACTGTCGAATGCCTTTCCATAATCAATGAAGTTGATGTATAGTGATGAGTTCCACTTAACTGATTGTTCGACGATGATCCGTAGTGTTGCAATTTGGTCTGTGCACGACCGATCCTTACGGAATCCAGCCTGTTGATCTCGAAGTTGGGCGTCTACTGCATCCTTCATCCGGTTCAGCAACACTCTGTTGAAGACTTTCCCTGGTATTGACAGTAGTGTAATGCCTCTGTAGTTTTCACATTTGCTCAGGTCTCCTTTCTTTGGAATCTTGACGAGGTGTCCTTCTTTCCAGTTCATCGGCAATTGTTCCTCCCCCAAATCCTTTTGAATAAAAAGTAAAGCATGTCTGTAGTTACTTCGATGTCTGACTTCAGTGCTTCAGCCGGTATGTTGTCCGGTCCCGCTGCTTTCCCGTTCTTGATTTGTCTGATGACCATTCTGATTTCTTCCTTCGTTGGTGGGTTGACGTCTATGGGAATATCTGTGTGTGCTGCTTCGATGTCCGGTGGATTCATTGGAACCGGCCTATTCAGGAGTTCCTCGAAGTATTCTACTCGTCTGTTCCGCTGTTGTTCAATTTCAGTGATTGTCTTGCCTGCTTTGTATTTGACCGGCCTATCTGGTTTACTGTATTTTCCTGATAGTTTCTTCGTAGTATCGTAAAGCTGTTTCATGCTTCCTTCTTTTGCAGCTTTTTTTGCCGTCTTTGCTAGTTCTTCCACGTATTTCTGCTTGTCGGTTCTAATGCTCCTCTTCACTTGCTTGTTTGCTTCTATGTATTCAGCTTGTGCTTGGACTTTCTGTGCTCGTGTTCGGCTGTTGTTAGTTGCTGCCTTCTTGTTCTACCTTTCTTTGATCTTGTCCAGAGTTTCTATGGAGATCAACTCCATATGATGGTGTTTATTTAGACCCAGAACCTCTTGACACGTTGAAGTTAATGCTTCTTTGATGCCTTTCTAGTTTTCCTCCATAGTAGTTTGTTCTTCCTTCAGTAGATCTTGTAAGGCTTGGAACCTGTTGTTGAGAGCCATCTTGAGTTCATTGAGTCTGTCAGTATCTCAAAGGAAGGCTGTATTGAACCTTTGTAATGCTGTTTGTCCAGTTGTCCAGTTCTTTTTTTGCTTCAGTTTTAAATTGGCTACAACTAGGTGGTGTGATAATCTGAAGCTATATCAGCTCCTCTCCTAGTTTCCACATCTCCGATTGTCCTTCGGAATTTTTTTTGATGCAAATATGATCTATTTGGTTCTCCGTAGTGTGGTCCGGTGAGATTCATGTAGCCTTGTGTATACGCTTGTGTGAAAATATCGTGCCTCCTATGACCAATTTGTTGAATGCACATAGATTTGCCAATCATTCTCCATTTTCTTTTCTTTCTCCCAGTACATGTCGTCCCATGATATCTTCATATCCGGTGTTGTCTGTTCCAACTTTGACATTTAGATCTTCCATCAGAATGGTGAGGTCCTTTCTTGGGCATTTCTCCATGATTGACTGTAGCCGCTCGTAGAATTGATCTCTAATGTCGTCGTTGCTATCATTGGTGGGTGCATAACATTGGATAATATTCATCGTGATTCCCTCCTTCTTTGTTTTGAACGATGCTTTGATGATTCTGGATCCGTGAGATTCCCATCCTACAAGTGCATTTCGTGCTACTTTGGAGAGCATAAGAGCGACTCCCTGAGTGTGTGGAGCAATTTTCCTCTTCGTGACCGGAGTACAGCAGCATCTCTCCCGTAGCTAGCGTTTATCTGTCCAGCTTGGGTCCAGTGGGTTCCACTGATTCCCAGTACTGCTAAGTTGTATCTCCTCATTTCCATTGATATTTGACTGGTCTTCCCGGTTTCCCACATTGTTCGAACGTTCCATGTACCCACAAACAATTTTGCTCTGGTTGTTAGAAGGGGCATCGGCCTCGTGGCTTCCGAAGGAACTTGGCTTTCACCATGAAGCGTCATAGTTCTTCTAAATGAAGACCTTCTAACTCCCAGGGCAGAGTTGAAATGGTTTGGATTATTTTTTCTGGTAAGCGATTTTATAGCGAGTTAGTTTTCTACGGGATGGGAACGCTAACCCCATGCCCAACCCTCCTACCTTACACGGGCTTGGGAACGGCAGTAACTCTAGAAGAGCTACAGGCGGAATAGCTGATGTTATTTCCCACAGTCAAGATATCACTATCTGTTTGAGTTCGTTTAGTTTCACTTGTTCACCGAATTCATTTCAGCTTATTCAAGCACGTTATTTACATAAATATACATTAAAATGCTATACGGATTTATAGTGTGAAATTCGAAGGTTATGTTCATCTTGAAATGAACAAATGTAGTAATAGTCATGTTCATCGTGGTTAGATTGATATCTGAATTCAGCAGTGTGGAGATTTGAGAAGATTGTAGTATTTTTACAGTTGAACTCATGAGTCGACTGAAGTTAAATCACTAGTGAATACCTGTGGGCACTGGATGGTCGGTTGGTCCTAGTATAGAAATCCTCAGTAGGTCTTTCAGGTTTTCGATGGTGGTCGAGCTCGGATCGACTCTTGGATTCAACTATGAAAATCCGATCTGTTGCCTCAGTCTACTAATAGTGCTTTTATTAAGGTTGACATGACGGAAAACATATCATTATTCAAATGCCATTGTATTAGAACATTGGAACACATTTAACACTTAAAGTTACTAGTTGAGAGAAATATCATTCTTCTGCTTGATATCATGATTTCTTTGACGATCATTAAAATAGAATGAAAAATTTAAATACAACATTTGATGAAAATCAACAGCCAATACACAACTGACCTTATCATAGGTGATTAAATCAAACATGGTTATAATTCGTATTGCAGTATTAGCCGGATAAATGACTGGTCTTGATAACATCATAGTATCAATATCAAGTGCAAGCATCAATTCATCCAGTATGAATAGTTCATCCTATTCATCGAAGAAAAAAAATCATCTTTATCGATAACAATATTATCCAGAATATAATCATAATGTGTAATTAATTTGTTCAAACATTCGCTATTATTTAGTGAAGGGTCATTAATTATCTCAGTATTTGTGAATTCTTCAAGCGCCATCTGGAAACTGATTAAATTCTTCCTTCTTATTACAGAGTGAATTCGAACAATTCCAACTAATTGAATTAAAGTCAAATTACCATTTTGGATGAATGAAATAGAGTTCTAATAAATCTTAAATTTTAGGAATATATGTAATTTGCTAAGCATTCTGTGTGTGTGGAGTTGAGCAATGCAAAACTTCGTCTATAAATACCCGCTTCTATGCAGCATGTACACGTTATATGAAAACAATTTCTGAAATGACAAGCGACTTGTGCAAGATGAAACATTGAACTGATAAAATTCTCAAAGAAAACATTCAACTTACTACTTTCCACTCAGGATGTAGTAACTGTACTCCGATGTATTCGAAAAATGTTGCGAAGCCTTCGTTCAACCACAAGTTATCCCACCATTTCATTGTCACTAAGTTTCCTAACCACTGAAAGAAAAGTGTTTAAATTGAAAGCTGATAGACGTAACATATTAGGATTGTTCAATCGATTTGGATATTTACATGAGGTCATATACTTGTTTTGTTAAAAATGATGCTTGTACATCGCAATGAAATCTTAAATTCGGTCCCTGCATCCTAGTTGTAAAGGAATTCCGAATAGTATAGTGAAAATGAGTAACTCATGGAGTTCAACTACAACTAGTGAGAATTGATTACATGAGAGCAGTTATTGTGCTATATTTTCGTTATAACCACATGTAAATAGCGAAAATAGTGACTCGGCTTGTCAGTAAACCGAACTTGGGTAATAATGGCATATGAGGTGATGAATGAGCATTAGAAATTTAAGAAATCGCTTGCATCATTTGAATAATTATTTTACTTAACACGTCTATCGACAATGAACAACAAATGAATAGATTTAGAAACCTGTATTATCAGATACCAAATTAATGAAGTAAACGAAACTAGCTAGCCGGAATTCTCAGATATCCTGTGTAATGTCATTGCTGCAGTGAAAAACTACAATGAATCAGTTTTCGTTTGTTTTCCAAGTAGTGTAAGTTTATGATTCGAACGATCATCAAATTAAAAAGATATTAAAAGTGAATTTAACATTTCGTTTTTCGTTTAAAATCATACCTGATGAGCAAGTTTATGTGAGACAGAAAACGTCACATCAATTAAAGTATTTATTGAACCGTTTTCTGCGTCCCATAACATTAAATTTTCATCATAAGTTATCAAACCCCAGTTTTCCATTGCCATCATTGAAGTCTTAGGAATCGCAACCATATCTGGAAACATGATGGAAGATATATTTCAAATGTAAACGGTTCTAATGACATACGTACATACATATATACCTATATAAATACATATATACTTACATACACTGTTGTGCATTCCTAATAAAAGGGAATACTTATGCACATCAATATGTATACAAATATTTACCGCAGTTAAATGACTGAATACTTTCGTTTTGGATGTGGTTATTTGTTCTCTGAAGAAGTGACTCACATTGAGTCACGATATATCAAAAAATTTAATTTTTCTACTCATTGAGATAATACAAATGTATTATTTATTTTTTGAATATATTTATTATGATTCAATCCACTTCAGTTCAAAATATAATTAGTGCCATTAAAGTAACATTGGATTTGGTTGATCATGCATCCCTTTCAGTTATTTAGACCTTAATGTTTGGTTGCATAGTTTGAATTTTACAGTATTTAACTACAAATATATTAAACGGAAACACATTTTAGTGAAATACCTACCCATTTTAGGAAGTGAATAGGGAATGCCAAAATAATCTTCAAAGTATCCCAATAATTTTATGCCAATATCAAGTGCATATTCAGCTGATCGAATTTTATCCGGTCTTGCCCAAACAGTGAACTAAATGAAAGAATTGTTTTAGGTGGAAGTGAATCAGTCCTACGATAAAAAAGTCATTACTGCTAAAATATGATACAAGAGACTGTTTTCAATGTCACGAGTGATTGAACCACTTTGATTTGATTGAAACACAGAGAACTCAGCATTGGTAAAACAATGGCTTGCACCATCAAACAATACTTGTGCTTTTGAATACTTGTATGGAACATCCTCTATTCAGGTGTTCTGTTTTAGTTTCTATCATCACTGTGGCGTTGTAAGCATGTTCACATAAATTCGAAATATCGAGGAACTGCTACTGCTTCACAGTGAATGCTGGTATGTTTTTAAGGTGGATCTATGTATATCCCGAACCGTCTCGGATGATCGGTTGCATGCAATCTCATGTTGGTTCTTCCTGGATATACATGATTCCGATACATTTCAAAAGTATTGCATGGAGAGTTATAAAACATCTGTTTAATTGATAACACTCACGTTTCGTCCTCTATTGTCTGTCCTCTGAATATTCGAAAACTGTGAAACTACAAATGCCAACAGATATGTGGACATTTTCACACTGGTGTTATACCTGTCGACACGCCAATTATCGTACAACACTTCCGTACTTTCCAAATTCATGTTTGAAAGCGAATGGAAATTTTCGTCGCGTACAATATTGACCTGAAAGACACAAACGTGAGAAATTTGTTCTCGAATAATAAGTGGCATGTTTAACCAATTGAAAAAATTCAAGATTCTTACCGTGCTTATCTAGCAATATATCACATATCCACCTGGAAATCCTTAACTCGTGTGGAAACTAATTTTCTAACTGAGTTGATGAATTACTCATAAGCCCATCGTGGAAGTGTTGTCTGACTGAAACACGTTGCATCCTGAATAGACTATATCTTCACATGCACTTGGATGCCATCTGCGAATGTTTGATATTCATCTGCAGTTTCGTCGCACATAAGTAGTGAAACAAATATAAATATGCTCACATTTAAGACTTATCAACACTGATTACCTAATCATGATTTATGGAGAGCTTTGTGGTAACATGTAGATGATAGGGAGTGTTGTAACTCAATTCCGTACATTGATTTAGTGCAAGAAACGTATTGCTGTCATTATATACGCTAACGTTCCAGAAGAGAATACGTTATTTTAGATTGTCACTGTTTGTATTCGACTAGATTAATTCCAGTAAATTCTCATAGGAACATTGTACATCGGTTTTAGTATATGTGCCTTTTAACAGATAACCAGTTGTCTTTAATCAATATGATACACATCAATAACTTTTGAAGTGTGTTGGTAAAACGAGGTCAATGTAACCAATAATGTGTTTCATAACATGACTGAAATATGCTAAGCTCATCACTATCATCAATCACGTGTTCGCATATCACACACACAGCATTTAAATCAAAAACATCACTTGGTTCAATGTTTTTGCGTTTTATTAAACTGACTCCGATTCACAACTGATCAAAAATCATACGGAAAATTATGAAAATGAAATAAAGGTCAAATATATCATACCTTGAAATTTGCTTTAAATTCCGGCTCATCCCAACATGGAAATACATTCCTTGCATAAATTGACTCCATGTAAGTACTTGCCAAATATCTGAAATATATATAACGGTGAACATTTTTTACAAGTAAATATCTCATTTCCGATAGTTGGTGCTTAAAAATGTGCTTTCGAACATAGAGAAATGTCTCGAAAGAAATATCTTGCCCAACATATCACCTGTGATTTTGACGAGTTACCATTCATTTAGTCCACTTGTTTTGGAAAGTCATTGTGTCATCCACTGTGTTGCTCAGTACATCTACACAATCATATTTTCGCTGCCGTGAAAAGTTTTGACTCATCTTTGATGATGAGTATTTCACAATTCCATACGCTATTTGGAATAATCCACATGTATTATTTTATATTGACAAGGCAGCAAAATTCACCAGTCTTTCTAAACCTTCCACGAACTATTACTTATCGGTACCTATGTCTCTATGGAAAACCAAATGGAATTGTAAACCATGTAATAATACTGATCATAGTTACGATATGATGACTACAGGACATGTCACACATCAGTAGACACACATTGTATTCCTAGAGAAGAATTTTCATTGTCGAGTTAGCACTGAATAAATGCATCTCTAACCAAAACACAGTGAGCAAATAAACGTGTATTCTGAAGTGATTGTTAAGCGTTGATCATCACTGTTCAAGCATGTATGCAAATGATTGTGTTATTTGCGGTCACCATTGAGTTGTTACCCGACACCAAATAAACCTGCACACATGTCTTAAATCGAGACTCACTTGTAAATCCCATTCTCCAAATATCTGCTAATATACAGTCCATCAGAATCATAGTCCATATCAGAACGAAACTGTCCAAATGTCAGGTTGTAATAAGTATATGGTTGCAAAGGCGTTTTGAGTTTAATTTGATAACACTCATCATCTTCAATATAATTAACGCGTATTATTTCAATAACAGATTTTGTTTGATTTCGCTCATCAAGAAGAGACATCTGTTTTCAAAAAGCACAGACGGGAATTATTGTAAATTGACAGTATTTATATTCGATCAGAAAGAAAATTCACATTTTGAATAGATGGTATTTTATTACCGTTTATGTAGAAAGTGGGATTCGCTACAGTGAAAGAAGAAGAATAATACGAACAAAAATCTCTTATGTTCGGCAATAAATATCTCTGTCTGTAGCTCTTCTAGGGTTACTCCTGGTCGCGAACCCGAATTAATGAGGAGTGTTATGTATAGGGTTGGCCACAGAAAAAAACTTGGTAAAACATGACTAACCATGAAATTCATTTGAACCATTTAGTCTCTGGCCTCCAAGTTTAGGGATGTTGAACTAGAAAAGTTAGGATGCCTCATGGTGAAAACCGGGATTCTTCAGAAAGCACAAGGCCTTCTTACCTTCCTACAACCAGAGCAAGTATTAGTATAGTTACATGGAATGTATGGACAAAAGGGGAGGCCGGGAGAACTGACTAGATAGCTACGGAAATGAGGAGTAATATTCGGACCCAGTGAAACACATTGAACCCAACCTGGACAGAACATCAAAACAGTCCTATTGCACTGAGCTGAAAATTCGATAACTACCACAACCATCATCAAAAGAATACAAACATATACAAACAATTGTCTTCAAAAGGTTCTCAATATTGTTTGTCCAGATAAAATGAATAACAAACTAGTTTCCAAGTGGACAGAAAGTTAGGAAAAGACGTTGGAATTGGATAGGACATATATTGAGGATTTCATCAAACTGCATCACGAGGTCAGCACTAATTTGGAATCGTGAATGTAGACGAAAGAAAGGGAAACCAAACAACACACTGAATCAAGTATTAGAAGAAAACACTAACTGTATGAATAGGGAGTGGAAAGAACTGGAAAGGATTGTTTATGGTAGAGTTGGACGTGGAATGCTGGTGGACGGTGCATCCAGCTGACGAGTCCCGAATAGGACAAACGTGAGTCCAGGATTCCACTGCTAGCCACTATCCAACCTTGCTTATAATGTTCATGGATTCATGGAATATCCATACAATACGCACATTATGTATATGTGCATATAAGAGAATGGTCAATTGAAGTTCTGAACATCAATGGGAACATTCAAGTTAAAAAATACCAGGTGGATTTAGTCTTTAATCTGTTTCTCAGTTGAACTATTAAAAAAGCGGTGATTTTGGTATTTTCAAGGGATCCGTTTTGGATCTTGAATATAGAATCTTATGCTTAATAAGAACTTTCGTCTAAATTTGAACGAATGGTTTCACAATATTTGGGCGCCGAGTTCATGTGAGTCATTAAAGAATCTTATGCTATCTGATAAAATTAATTGGTTGACCCCCTGAATAAATTCAAATTTCTTATGTTTGTATCGTTTAAATTGTTTAAAAATGTTGTTTGTTCTAGTAAAATAACCCTCAGTTAACATCTGACGTCTAAGTAGTTGCCACTCTTATTTCCTTTCGTACAACTCTACGTCCAAGTTGTATCAGACAATATTGTTTTCAAATAATTTAAGAAATATAATGATGTAATTTTGTTCTGACTTGGATCATATTGTGGTGTGTCCTAGTTATATTGACATAAGTAGTATACGACGATAATAACGAACAGAATGTCTGGTAGCAGAGAGACAGGTGGATCGAACAGTAAATAATGGAAACAGAATGCAATTTGTTTGAAAATGCAAGAACAATGAGGTCTGAGTCATTTTGGGACAATTCATGGTCATTTTGCAAATTTACTAACAGGTTCTATGATTTCCTAGCTAAAACATTCGATTGTCCCCACTGGTGTTTTTGTTCACTACAATATAATTGAAAATTAATTAGAAGCGAGTTTCTACTTGAACTTCAGTCTAGTCAAAATTCTGTTTGAATCACCGTCAAATAAAGCATTATAAACGATGATTCTGAAAGCAAATTTTGTTGAATAAACTTTGTCTAAGTTCTGAATTTCAGTTAATGATGAATAATAATTTTTAACAGTCATATTATTATCACATACGTGGTAGACATTTGGTCGATCATGTAAAATTCGGTTGACAGAGACAACAACATTATTAATTCATTCACACGATGTTATCGACTTCCAAGTTTACTTGGTTAAGACATTTGAATGTACACTTAAAACTAATCAAATTGTCAATTCATTTAGTTCAGCGAGATTTTCCGATTAGGAACCAGTTTTTAATGAAAAACAGTCAAATTAAAGAAGTTAATGAAATAAAGGATACTTTCCATACAAATGATGACAGAAATGTAGGTGAATTTTTAATTTTGTTGTACACTATTGCATTATATGAGTTTCTCAGTTGAGTTTAAACTCATTTCAAAGAACGGATTATTTTCCAATAAACCTTAGTTTAAAAACGATAGCTTACATGGATTTGATCCAAGCTCACATTCAGATTATCGGCTGCATGTACGAAGAACTCGGTTGTCGACACATTACAGAAAACTTTTATTGTCACAGATCCATTGAAGAAAAATGCTTGCGACTTGTTATCGTGCAAATGGACTTGAATTGACAAATCGTAGGAATGTGGAAACAATGTATGTGGTAATCTAAAATCCTCTGATGAATGAATCGACACATTATTGTCATCGCCGATATTTTCAGTTGCATTAGTAGTTAACGTATCTAAAACAAACGTTTGAAGGAGAATGAGTATTGCACATGAATCGGTATTAATCAATGAGTGAACACTGTTCACGCAACATCGTTCATTACACCCAGGAGCTTGTCAACTCTGTTCAAGGTTAGATCGTACTATAATCCACATGAAAATGAAGCATTTTCCTCTACCAAATTTAATTATAACATACACCTTCAGTAAAACCAGTCATTTGAGCTTGTTAAAATTTATTTTGATGTATCTTCTGCCGAAAACAACTGAAACTAATATGTGATTGATGTATTTGTAATTTCAGTTGTTGTTAAGCGCTCACGAACTGTGTAGCATTATACAAAATAGGGTGCATGAAGCAGTTATCATTTCGTGTGTTTCAAGTATTTTCATAATGATAAACATTGCATCAATATGGTGCATTTCGTATGGTAATAAAAACAACACAATCGTTTAGATTATAATTCAAAAAATTTCATCTGACACCACAAGGTTGAGGGTGGTAAAGATTGTTGAATTTCACTGAAGTAATTAACTGATCAATGTTAGACCACACTTGAAAACATAAGATCGGTGAACCGTCGTTTCCTCTTAGAATGACTATTTCAGGATTTTACATCCACAAACATATCCGCGTGTATCGAACCGAGGAAATCCAGTAATGCGCTCGAACGAATGATCTCTAGACCACTGGACCGGAATCGAACGGTGCTTTAGACCCACCTCATCCCATCAACGATATTGGGCGACCATCGTCCGTTGTTAACAGTGAGCACGTGACATAGCATAAGAATCGTTAATCTGTGAATCATATGGATAAAAGATTAGATTGCAGACCTCCATTCAACGAGGCTGCGAATGATTAAAGAGCACTCTATCTATAATACTACTAGTCACGCGATAAAATATTTACGTCGTTTCAATGGTCAAGCTACTGCATCGTAATAATAATAACACTGGTAATAAATCTTCAGTCATTAGGTCAAAAACACAATAAAAATTAATTGAAATATACATACTTGTATACTGCGAATCAAATTCAAAAAAATTAAACCTGCTCAATGCTGAAGCATCATCGACTAACATAAACGAAAGAATCAACACTATCAACATGATGAATGATTTCTTTGAACGTATTAAATTTGGGATTGCTAACGTTTCGGCATCTATTGTGTGGAGAGATTGACAGTGATGTGTGGAATCAAAATGTCTTCCATCGACATTATCCACAACCAACATGTTCACAGGGTTCTTGAGATTAGATGATTGTCAATCAAAGACAATATTATCTACAAGTATCGAAGAGTGGTTAGCATAATTCAGTTTTATAGATAACTTGCTAACCAATAACAAATCAGATCACAGAAAAAACGTGATTTCTTAGAAAGCATTTAACAGTTCGAGACAATGTCACGCTAACAGACCGTGATCTAAACTTATAAGAATAAGATCAACGAAATGAATCTTGTCTAGTGAACTATTGACCTTTAAACAGTGTTAAGTTACATGACAGTGGTCATATGCAATGTTTGACATGATTGCTTGACTTTTGTTGTTTCTTTTCGAAGCATTTGTGAATGCTGGTCATTGTTCTCCTAAACACTCTACATTTCATCAAGTTTTGTTACTGTGGAAATGTCAATATCAACACAAACTGAATTAATGTGAATGTTCTATTTGACAAATAAGTTGCATTGAACTTCGTTACCACTTTGACAAGAAACACTTGTTCTGTGGTTACACTGATATAAATTTCTGATGATTAGTGTTTGCTGTTTTCATTTGCTCCATAGAGTTGTTCAGAGTAATATTATGAGAGTGCAAATGTACAAATCGTTGATTACGTTTGACATAATCAGTGAGTTTATCATGCTTATTCTTCTGAATGATGCGGGTTTAATATGTGACCAGGGCTTTTGTGAACAACATTTTGAGTAACATTTTCACTAGTGTTCAAGATTTGACTACGTCCAAAAACCAGCCAATACATCTCTTGAGGCATTTCGGTACTCCTATTACAAATCGGATGACTTAGTATGAAGTCAGATTCAATGCTGAATTGATGGTGTGACGGAAAATGGAGTAGACTGTTGTTTGACTAAGTGGAAACTGTAAAACTGAATTCATGGTCATTCCGACAATTTTACTATCGCCATTCGAGACACTTTACAACAGATCCGATTTCAAATAGACGGACGGCAGCCGGTTGAGCATATGTAGGATTCTTAATTTTTCAGTTTTTATTTGTTGTTTGATTGCTGTCACCTTTTACAGTTGAAATCTGAAGCTCTCATGAATGTCGTACGGTGTTGTATATCTCATGTGCTTGAACTAGCCATGTCTGGAGATCATATACATTGAAACAACCAAACTATGTGGATTCCTATAAACCTCTGGATGGGTTGGCATTGGTGAAGTTCAAACAATTCGAAACAGTCTTTTCTGATTGACATACGATTTGACACAACAGTGAACATCTCATTAATTCACTTCACGAAGTCTGTTGAGATAAAATTAATGATAAAATTAATTGTTCTTCTCAATGAGGGATACGGTTAACAGTGTCTGATGTTATATTCGATTTAAAGATTTCAGTGAATATAGAGACAGAATAAATTATGACATTGTATTTGTTTGTTAGGAATGTTGATACTAATCTATTACATCGAAACTCCAGCATTGTAAACTTATTTGAAACTAGTAACCTAAGTAAGACACATATTTGTGCTAAACGTTTATGGAGAATATATATTTTCTGTATGAAACTAAGATTATTTTGAATGAAAACATCCTCAGTTTTTAAGTGAATGATGATTTATTGATTTAGGAACTGACATCGTTGTTTACAAAGATTTGGAACCAGTGAGTGTTCCGACATCACGGAATCAGTCGATAGTTGTGCCTATATTTAAATAAGGTTCACGTCATTTCTGTAACAACTATCGGAGGATAAGTCTACTCACAATTGCGTCCAAACGATTGACTTCCGTACTACTTCATAGGTTGTTCAAAACCCGAGAATGATTGACTCGCGAGGAGCAGGCTGGTTTTCGTTCTGGTCGAGGATGTATTGGGACTGGTTGGAAAAATGAAGAGGTGATCAGTGTATAAAATGGTGTCGTGGTATGAAAGAAAGCTGCAAAGGGTTAACTTTTTTGGTCTTTTATGACTCCTTGGTTTGGGTGCTAGAGATGGCGCAGCACAGTGGCTAGACACGTTATCAGATATGGCTCAGAATAGAAGTCAGTAGCGATTCTGCTGTAACCTTCGTTTACTTTCTTCATAAAAAGTGGCCGTAACTCCTTTATCTGAAAGAATTCTTTCACTACCATAAACTTATTTGTAGTCGTTATTGTTTTTTATTCATTTTATACGCACACTACATTCTTTATCTCTTCCCATTCTCGTTGATATTGTGTGGTGCATATGTATCTGGTGCCTCTTGTACCAATATTTATGTGTTCAAATAAGTAAATAGATAAATACTCATTAGTATTCAAAGATATAAGTCTATTTTTCATTCGTTCTAGTTGTACGTCGTTATTTTTAGTTCTCTTATTAACTGATACATTTATTATCAGTACAATGACATTGAATTGACCATGTTCCGCGTGTCTTTGTTAGGAATAGGGCGATTTTAGTAAGCCTATCACTCTAAACGTGAGTTTTGCAATCCATGTAAATTGTTCATTTATTATGGGACCAGTCATTATTTAATTATCTATATTTGTGAATAAATATTCAGAGCTGTTAAACCGTTAAGTTACCGTATCTGAGTTATTTCAGTGTTTACGGCAGTTTGTCAAACAGTAATAAAAGGAGGTATATTCTATGAGAAAAAAGTTCATGAAAATGTAGAATTTCAATCAAACCATCAACAGTTCAGTGATGGACCATCAATGTAAAATTTGAATCACTGTACGCTCGTTTTGTCCTAACATGCGACATTTCTGAAGAACACTTCCTCAAACATCTCCATGAGGATCGGACTCGGAGCCCTTGGTCTCGTGCATGAACTAATGTATTAGATTTCCACTGTTAGTCTGTGAGCAATGGAGCGGATGTTTTTCGAGTGTGAAGTGGTGACCCATTCATGACAATGGGGATGATTGCCCAATATCGTGGACGGTTTGAGGTTGTTCTAAAACTCGGTTAGATTCCGTTCAATCGTTTAGATGTTGGGCGCGCGTGCGCATGACTGAATTTTCTCAGTTCGATTCTCGTGGACGGGGTTGTGGACGTAAAATCCTGAAATGCCCATTCTACGAGGAAACGACAGTCCCCTGATTTTCTTTTTCCAGTAGTGGTCTAACACTGATCGGTTCATTATTCCAATAGAATGAACATTTTATGATGATTGATAATTATTTTGCGTTTGTACACAAATTCATCGTTAGGTCAGAACAAACAAGATTTTCTCATATCCTGATGTTGTCCAGAATTCATTTATCCATCAGCTGACGTAACGCAACAGCAATCGATTTATTTCCTTGCAGGAGAAAAACTAAAGTTAGTGCATTATTCTCCTGTACAGTTAATAATAATGCTATGTTAATCCCGCCAAACGAACGATCAATACCTAATTCCTAGCCGCTTTTTCATATGTCTAGACGTATCTGAGTTTTGAATAAGAGCATCAGAGAAAACATAAAGCCAGGATAGAGGTTTTACTTTAACGATCACCTATGCTCAGAATACAATTTCTCTTAAACAATTTTCCAATCAGTTTATATATTTACTAGATATTGTTGTGTATACTGATTACTAAGTTACAAATATTTTACAAAACTTGCATTATATTATTTGAGACCTCTCAATCAAACGGTCTACATTTTCGAAAATTTCTGGTGAGTTATCATAACAAGAATCAAATCAAGAAGAGAGACAATAGAAGTACGTTGATCAGAACAGACTGTTTTGAACATTCGGAACTTCGCCAATGCCAACCCATCCAGAGGTTTATAGGAATCCACATAGTTTGGTTGTTTCCACGTATATGATCTCCAGACATGGCCAGTTCAAACACACAAGATATACAACACCGTACGACATTCACGAGAACTTCAGATTTCAACTGTGAAAGGTGACAGCAATCAACCAACAAATAAAAACTGAAAAATTAAGAATCCCACATGTGCTTAACCGGCTGCCGTCCGTCCATTTCAAATCGGATCTGTTGTAAAGTGTCTCGAATGGCGATAGTAAAATTGTCGGAATGACCATGAATTCAGTTTTACAGTTTCCACTTAGTCAAACAACAGTCTCCCCCATTTTCCGTCACACCGTCATTTCGGAATTGAATCGGACTTCATACTAAGTCATCCGATTTGTAATAGGAGAACCGAAATGCCTCAAGAGATGCATAAACGTTTTCTGGACGTAGTCAAATCATGAACACTAGTGAAAACGTTACTCAAAATGTTGTTCACAAAAGCCTCGATCACATGTTAAACCTGCATCACTCAGAAGAATAAACATGATGAACTCACTGATTATGTCAAACATGATCAACGAATGGAACAGTCACACTCTCATAATGTTACTCTGAACAATTCTATGGAGCAAATGAAAACGACAAACACTAATCATCAGACTATTATATCAGTGTAACCACAGAACAAGTGTTTCTTGTCAAAGTGTTTACGAAGTTCGATGCAACTTATTTATCAAACTGAACATTCACATTTATTCAGTTTGGACACACGTAAACACTTCCAATATGTGTTGATGTTGACACTTCCACAGTAACAAAACTTGATGAAATGTGGGGTGTTTAAGATAACAATGACTGGTATTCACAAATGCTTTGGAAAGAAACAATAAAAGTCCAGCAATCAATTCAAAATTGCATATGACCAATGTCATGTAACTTAACACCGTTTAAAGGTCAACAGTTCACTAGACAAGTCTCATCTTGTTGATGTGATTCTTAAACTTTAGATCACGATCTGTTAGCGTGACATTGTCTCGAACTGTTAAATGCTTTCTAAGAAATCACTTTTTTTCTGTAATCTCAAAACACACATTTTTCGACATACTGACAAGCCGAACAAATTCAAGTTAACTTTCAACAGCAGGTTCGAAGCATCAAACGATCTACTGAAAGAAGAAAAACTACGATGGAGGACAATTGGAAAGTGATCAAACAACGGTTAACTTCAACGTATCCGGATCTCTTTTGAAACGATAGACAGGTATAATAAGAAGACATCAATTCACAACAGCCGAACAAGAACAGACAAGGTCAAAGCGCATGCTGATGCACACGAACTGACACGCAGAAATTTGAGAAGGACCTAGCTACAACAGCGGAAAAGGCTACAAGTAAAGGGTGTAGTGGCATTGGACAATAGCCACACAATCCACAAAGCTGTGAACACGAGACTACTCAGAAAATAGATATTCAATATTTAACGCGGAGAAATACCTAACAATGGAGAAGGCGCGAACAAGGAATTGAATGGACTGGGTTGATCGAGTGGCATGGCTCGTCCATGCAGGCGTGGTCCATCTCAATGTTACTTTATATCTTCTATTCATATTAAATATATTGTTCTTTCTCTAGCCTAACCTTGTTCTACATCATGTATTGGTAATTGATACGATACAGTGAGTTGGTGTAGTCGATGGTGTGACTTCCACGTAAGATCTTATAGATTAGGCAGTTATATCATGACAAATCTACAAATTTAGGATTAGGTCTATTATTAGAGCAGTACTAATATCATAGTAGACCATAATTCCACAGCAATTCACAACAGCCGAACAAGAACAGACAAGGTCAAAGCGCATGCTGATGCACACGAACTGACACGCAGAAATTTGAGAAGGACCTAGCTACAACAGCGGAAAAAGCTACAAGTAAAGGGAACATGGAACAGCTATGTTACGCGACGCATAACTTATAAGGGAGCTGAGGAGTCCAGGCAAGGACACAGAAGGCAGGACAATCACTTTGATTCACGTATAGAGTAACAGATGTGTGGAACACTTCGAAAAACTCCTGAATGAGTCATCTCCGTTGCATCCACCAGACATCGAAGCACCGGCTACAGAACTTCCTATAGATGTCACTCCACCAACGATTGAAGAAATCAGGATGATCATCAGACAGATCAAGAGTGGGAAATTAATAGGACCTGACAGTATACCAGCAGAAGCATCGAAGTCGGACACAGAAGTAACTGCTTCGACACTATAGAGAGTACGTTAGTAAAGACAAACATTAAATTAAAGTCTACGAACATCGGATTCACAGATTGTTGGGTAGAGCAAATCGCAGTTGAATATTCCATAATTGAAATTTCTTGGACATTTGTCGCTAAAACTCCAGAGAATTTCTCTAAGAGGATGTAAATTACATTATTTAATATATGTATATAAGTTTCAAAATCTTGATGAACAAACACTTGAAAACACAAACAATCTTATCATTTTTATGGAGTATAAGTACTAGTTACACACAAGATCAACTTTTCGAAATGTTATCAGATCATAAAAATTCAACCAATATACCTTTACAGATAAGCATGCATTCTGGTTAATAGCTATCATAATTAATAGTAGTATTAATAACAATAACGATAATAATAACAATACTAATAACGATAATAGGAACAATAATAGCAATTATTCATACAGTAACTGAGCTTGTATATCCATTTTTATATCATCTTTGCACTATAAAACATATTCTCGTCCATCTGTAATAAAGAAAAATGTGTATTGCCAATAATAGTAGAATGAATATATGTACGATCGAACCATTGTACACATGTATATACGTTCCAGTGACGAATGGATATTAGAACATTCAAAATAATAATAATATTAATAATAAGACCACATGAAAACCGAAATATGAATACTTAACATTGAATAAGAGGGAAACAAGAGAAATGAGTAGTTTGTTACAGAGACACAAGTACAGATGAATTGATTGATAGATCGATTGATAGATCTGTGAATTGACAAACCAGTAATCAATTAATTCAACAGAATAAAACTGGCTAATAGTGAAATTGTTGATTAGTCTGAAAGAAATGCATTCAAAGTAATGTGATTGTATTGGGAACATTTTTATTTAACCAATTACTGATAACATCACGATGAGTTTTTGTCCATTTCATGTTTTCCTTCGACCTTTTAAACAAATCATTTAATCCACGTTTCAGAACATGATTTTCAAGTAGTTTTTGTCCAGAATTTTGCATGGCAAGTACCTAGTGAATTAAAAGTCAACAATTTGTATTCATTAATCCCAAAAACAAAAACTTAATAACTACCAAATAAATTAGGTCGACCTGTATGGTAGTAATCAGTTCGGGTGGATGGGGTGAAAACACCTCAATCTGTGAATTTGGTGGCTGTTGGTCCAAGATATGAAGCATATATCTTGAGTGGAATCTTTGAAATGATAAATGCACCAACTAATAGGCCGTCATAAAATGTGGTTATAATACTTCTTCCCTGGATTTGTAATATCTTATCACATCGAATAAAGTTTGTGTGGCTGACAGTGTCCATAATGATAATGAAAACACTACTAAATTATCAACCTTAACGAAATCACATCAATTAACTCACCCAACCAAGCTGCACAAATTCCGCGTCATAAATATAAATTTATTCCTGTGTAAAGACATTCAAAATACCAATATATTCCGTCTATATGTAAATCGAAAAATGTCATCAATCTAGAAATAACTTTTGTTTAGATAGAACGATATGACTGTCTCCAAAAGTGCGCTAAAGTCTTAATGTCTAGTGATTAGTACTTAAGCCAATTGTTAAGGGTTTATTGGCACCACTGAAACAACGTCAATATTTTCAATTTCTCAATTAAACAGATTTTTGAAGGTTTATCGATGTTAACTGTCTTTTACTATTTTTTGCAGTGTACGCTATAGTAATGTACTTGCTTAAACTAGTTCAAGATTATACAGGTCTATATGTTCAACTTGGTCATATACAACAGTGATAGCTATTGATTGAGTGTTATACAGAAAAACAACCTTCACTTCAAAACATCCAACGTCATATACTTAGTGACTAAATTTATAAAATTAATAAGAATTTAAGAAAAAATTGAACTAACTTCTTCTTGATCCGGTATGTTATTTAGTGTGTAATGACGTTTGGATAGTATTTTAAGGATTACAGTTAGTACACACCTGTAAAATAGAACAAATAAACGTAATTCATATCTTGATACACTTTCCATTGACTGCAGAATCACTTACCTGATGTTCTGTCCATTCTGGTAACACTATCATATCCCGTTAATAGTTTAGTTGTATGTATCATAGCTTAAAGTGTTTAATAATTTGATTTCATTAAAGAATGAACAATTCGAACAGGAGTTGACTAAACTGAATTGCCTATATTAATGGATGTTGTTTTACCAACAAAAACGTAAAAAGATGATTAAATGCTAGAAATGAATTTTCCCGAATCACAACCTCATACAACATGGAAAACATTCTCGAACTAACAGGTGGTGAAATGACTAGTCTACTAACACCATAAAACTCTTCATCCGTTCATGTCATAACAAACCATGTCAATGTATTTTCCATCTACATGGTAAATAGTCAGTTGTTCATAATTAAATTTTCAAACATGTAACTTAACAATTTTTAGTTCAGTAACTGTACACGTTGTTTGATGTAAACTGTGAATGAGGCTGAAGTATATTCATAATCACAAAAAGATAATAATTTAATTAAATATAAACAAGTACGTTTAACTGTATTATTGCTGAACGAAGATGTGGTAGACATCAAAAGAATGAATAGCAATTATGAACAATTGGAAAGGATGGCCAAGGTAAAATTTGGATATAGAATCCTGGTGAGTGTCCTATGCTCTTCAACGAGGGATAACAAGCGATAGTAAGCAAGTAATTGCTGAATTGAAATCATACATAAACTACTTGAACAATGCAGAGGTGAAAGAATTGGTTTGCTCGGGTATATACATATATATATATCCTATTCAAATTATGCTTTCTTGTAAATGCAGACGAACTCCGAAATATATATATCAAAGTTATTCTACCTAATATATTTGTATTGTAGAACTAATACTACCTACCAAGATATGTAAAATAATGTGACAGAAAAACAGTATTTGGATGATGGAAATTCGAGAATATGGCAAACCTTGTTCCCTATATTACTGACAGAATGCAGTCATTACTTAGGTTTCCTTCCGTTCCAAATAGACCATGATCTATGCTAATCATAGATACTTATTATACACCCTATGGATTCAAAATGTGTCAACGAAATCCTAGTGCCTATATGCCTTTCAGATTGAGTATCAATTCTTCGTTGACATTAGAAAATATATTATGGATTCGACGGTTAAATTCATTAAGCAAAATGTCACTTTCCACTCTTCTATTTTTAACTTAATTAGGTACTTTTAGTTTACTGTGTACAGAAACAGCCATTTGAGTTAACCATGCTGTGTTTATCTATACTTGTGTCAGCGTGTTAACTCCATACATGTATGAAAGTGAAAACAGAATACCGATATGAAGGAACTCTAGATTCGATTTTTGCAAATCAATAACTTTTATTGTTAATACAATGGAAACAATGTTAATTACTTCCTTATTACGATTCTAATATAACGAATAAGATTTATTGCCAAACTCTCATGTGACCCTCTGTAATCATTAATATTAATGTGATATTATCTACGAAGGTAAACTGGATAGTCCAAATATGAAACAAATGTTGATGGAAGGAATAATTTTAAGTGTTTTTGTGCAAACCAATTGTATTACTTACTCATTATGACGCCCAAAGTTTGCGGTTTGGTGATACTTGCAAATGTCATTGAGATCATCAGAGGAAGCGCTAAATAAGATGGAGTAGTACAAACTAGTCTTAATTTTATTGACTATCTATATTACGTGTAATTAAATTTAGATTTTTATTCCACAAACAGTTAGACCCATTTAGTGCATTTTCAGTAACTAGAAATCGAATGTGATTTTGTAAAAATTGTTAGGAAGTCAACCTCTAGTCTGTTTCGTCTAATGGAGAGATAAGAGTCTGTCTTGAAAATCAATATTTATCACTAAAATGAAAGTAATGAAAATGCTGAGCATTATTTTAAACATTTCAGACAACATAGAAGATGTGGAGTGTGCCGACTCCACATATTTCTAAGGTATTAATGCTTATTGTTTAGTATGGAAAAATGTGAAGGAGAACAGCTAGTGAATTTAACAATATGCTTAGAAAAGTCAAAATGTCAACACTTGACGACATGACAATCTGATTATGTCTCCACATCTTAACTGACATGAACCAAAATCTTTCTTTTCTAATTGTAGAGACGGTATGTTAAGTTGACTTAACGAAATCAGATGTTAGTAGACGTTCAGATAGATCAAATGCTGTTACGTGGCCACATGGTAAGAAAAAGATATAATTATGCGTTTACTGTAGTTGATGTTTGAGTTATGCGTCTGGTATAAATTACCACTATGATATTAAATTATGAATATATGCATCGTGTCTGATAATATCGATTTAGTTTCATCACACATCTTCGCAAGCATCTGAATTATGTTTGGGGTGAATGCAACTACAAACTTTAAAAGGACCAATCTTATTTTATGTCACAATGCAATATAGTGGGCATATAGAGAATTTATTGACCGTGCCTCGTTCAGTCAAATGAGACGAGATGCTGCGATACATTGTGTGACACCGAAGTAAAGCTTATACTAAATCGGTGATCACAGAAACATAAGTATATTAAAACATAAGTGAAACACAGAATAGAAATATTTAGTCACTAACACTTTTACACTATGTAAACTCCATTTATTGAACTATGTTACTACTCTTCAATAAATAGTGATGTAAATTTCGATTCCGTTATTGAAATCGGAATGAGGGTAAACTTTTTATTTATTTAATAGACTGATGCATACAATTCATTCATCTAAATGTTTCTCTACAAAACAGTTTGTCTTCACAAATATAAAATTCAACCTTAATCGATTCGAAAATTGAAAAAATGTCCTCTAGAGAAAATGAAGAAGTTACCGATTGCCAGTTAAAATTTATTGCACATTAGAAAGGCTTCAGTAGAACAAAATGGATTGTGAACCAACAACCGCCAAATAAAAATTTCAATTTTGCAAATTCTTCTGGTTATTTCAGAAACTAAGAACAACCAACGTCTCCTATCTTCAACATCCGATTACCGACAAATTTAACAAGGATAATTACTTTGGTAATCATCCTAAAACCCTAACAACCGTCATAGTTTAAATGTGATGCAGAGAATTATCAGATTAATGGCACGTAGAAAAAGTGGTCAAGTAGGATTATTCAGTATGTAATGTGAAATAATGGATGCTTTGGAAATCTGAGCCAATAGTCACGAATGAAAAACTATTGAATATACTACTTAACAATTTGGAAGTAGTCAAGTGAATACAAAGGTAATAACTGAATGAAAATTGTGGACGTGCGAAGTATAACGCAATAAGAAAGCATTCTGTAACTGAGGTAAGCAATGAAACTTACGCTTTAGCAGTTGGGCGAGTTGCGTTTCTCCCTCTGAAAACAATTGAAAATGTTAATGACATTTTGATTTGTCTTACATTGAAAATTTCTAAATGAGTAAATCTGATATTTGCCATAACTATTTACTATTTCTGTGATAATAAGGTAGACCAATAATTTTAAGCTTGGTTTACCCATACATTTTCTCTTGAGAAATAACGATGTATTAGCTATAGATTACTTGGACTTTGAAAATATTCCACTAATAGGAATTAGACTTATCACGGTCTAGACGATGACTATCAAAATGATGAAGGCATTAAACACTTGCTCCTTACTTGTTTGGGATTATTCAGAACTACACAGGAACAACTCTGGATAATATCTAACACAAATGTTTTATATCTCTTGTTAAACACGATACTTTCAGACTACTGAGTGTGAAGTTGTGGTCTGCAAATTAATTTCACTTCATTTTCAATATTTGGCTGAAGATCATCCAATTTCATTGGTAATATTTGCTTCACTCGTGATGTGACTGAAATCCACCGATTACAGCTTCTCAGTAGAACGTTGCGAAACCATATCTGAGTTATTCTCTATGGGAAAAATGATCTAAATCTGCAGCTACATTTATTTAGTTTTTCGTGTATCATGAAATTGTATTAACTGTATATAGAATCTAACTTTTATAATCAATGTTCAATCCAGTACAAACGTGGATTAACAAGGAGCTTATTCAGAAGAATCTATCGAATTTGCACTAAAGATGCAGTTGAGAGAGACAAGTAAATGTCTTTACTGAAGCACTGATGAATGACAGTTACTAACTTGAGTTTATAAAGCGTTGGTAGAGCAAAGATGTAATAAGAACTACTAAGTTCTCGGCATCCAAGAAGCTAGTCTATATTACTACACCATTAAGATGAAACTCATATGGTCTTATGGTAGGACACATCAACATCAAAAATTCTAGGTCTATGTTTCATAAAATACTCAAAAAGCATGTGACTAATTGTACCACAACTCATTCCATCTATCAGTTTACATGTATGTGCTGAAACACATAAATACGAGAAATAATCTCGATCTGCTGGTAAGGGTTGATGTATACAACTAGTTGGCTATGAAATCGAATGAATCCCAAGCATCAGACAAGATCACAGAAGCGACAAATATCTTCCTCCACTAGGAATATCAAGTCAGCGTTTGTAGTGTTGTCCAGAAATGTTCAAGAGAATATACTAAGGTTTATCGAAGTGATAACTATACGAAAACTGAAGCCACCGTTTTGTGCTCAAAATGTGTTGTGCAAATATATCACATAATTCTGAGAACGTTCATCATCTTATCGCAGTATCCAAGCTTAAAGAATAGTTAAACTAATACTGTTATTACTAATGAAGTAGGTGAAATGATTTTCATTTAAAATATTAAAGAACATTCATTAATCTACACTAATTCTTACTCATTCATTATAAATCTCCACGCTTCACGAATATGTTCCCATAGAAGTGTCTGGCCGATAGGATACAATGCCACAGATGAAAGTGCATCTAATAAATCCTGAGGATCCTTTTGATTATTTTTTATGACCCATTCCAGATGTCTAAATTATTGATAACATGAAAAGTATTAGTCGATTTCAACAAAAGTATTTATTTGTATTTAATTTTGAATTATTCAGGTAATAGGAAGTAAACGAAGTAGGTAATCGAATATTTGAAAGAGATACAAATATTTTATTATTATCTAAGCAAAATGGTTATTCAAATTTTTTAAATTTGGAGCATGAACTGATCAATATTAAACAACCATTGAAAGCTTCGACGAGCTGGACAGTGAACTGCTGAGGAGTTCCAAACTTGGACGAAACAGACGTCCAGTACTTCCATGTATTCAACGGTAGCCTAACATTGATCAGCTCATGATGTCAATTAAACAAAACTCAACAATCTCCACAATCCTATACTGGTATTCAAATTTTGTTCGGTTTGTCGATAAATGTCGTGTCAGATTGAAATGACACACAGTTTATAAATCATTTTTTGTCATTTTCTCTTGTTATTTGGACTGCAAACTTTGTTAGGCTAAATGAAAGGACATATCTCATAACTAGTGGTTACTATTACGGCGTTGCTATTTCAATATGATCATACACTAAACATTCTTTAAATATTAGTTTGCTTCATTACATGTAATTTTAACCCATAATACCCCATATCGATGACATATATAAATTTTAATATTAGAAGCAAACTCGTTAGCTGGATTAATGAATGCTGACTGAGTGGTCTGATGACAGAAAGCTAACATTAAGCAATTGATTACTCATAGAACACTAAACCTCATATAATGAAAGCGTCTTCCGACGTACCATCAAAGCACCTGAAAAAACAGCGATTACTAAAACCGATGAATTAAATTACATAAACACAAAACTATGAATGATCAAACGATATTGAGAGATATATATGGTGAAAATTACTGATAGTTTAATGATCATATAGATAAAACAGCACGAAATATGTATTAGACAGTCAATATATCACGAAACAATCCATGTATTATATTGACTCATATATGTTTACATATATTGTACTAGAACAGGAACCATTTATTTAATTTATTGGAAGCTGACAATCGAAAGCAACAACAAATGAAATGTAATATAACTCACAGTCTTACTATCCACATATCACGAGAACAAGACAATGCCTGTAAAATACTATTTTTCTCATCCTCTTTTATATCCACTTCTAATAAACGTTGTTTTAGGAACTCCCATTCTTTTTGTCCACCGATTCTAATTGCTGTGCAATAAACAGCTGGCCTCAAACTTGGTGGGATCCTTAAACATAAAACGGATGAAAAATTAGAGGATAATGGATAGTACTACATGTAGAGTAAACAATATCACAAATTTTATGATAAAAATAACTTTATTCGTTCAAGGCGGAAATAAAACTGAACAAAAGAATTAAGTTATTTGAAGCAGTCCACAAGTTAACAACTGATATACAAATTCCATAGATATGGACCAGTCAATACAAGTGAATGATATACAACTTGTTGGTCGCCAGTACCTTGCATTTAATAGATCCAAAGCAGGACATGTCTAAGAATGTAATTTTTCTAAATTTCACTTAGTAATTATTTCAAAATCATAACAGTTCAACAGGTAACTTACAAATTTTGTGAAGGATTAAGCATCCAATTTCTGTAATATTCCGTAGCCATTTTAACGCATGAATGATGTTCAGCTTGACATGCTAGACGAGTTAATGTCAGGCGCAACATACTTAAATAAAAAACAAGCACAACCGGTGAAATAAATGAAGTTTCAACAATAATTACATTCAATTGTTCTAATCAGTTGTCTAATCTGAATATAATAAACAATTAACTGGAATAATAAAACTAACATAAACACTCATCCCTTTATTTTGTTTATTTATCTTCATTTTATGAATGATGTGACATTGGATTCATATAATATAAGAAAATTGTATGTTTTCTCAAATTTCACCGATCAGAGGCGGTAAATATTGAGTGAAATTTCTTCTCACACCATTTACGAATACACACAATGTGTTATCTTGACACACTTTTCATCTCACATCACATGTCTCTTACACACTAACGCGAATACCTACTCATAAGGTTGTATAACGTTGATTGGATGACCTAATTAGTATACAGTTAATCAGAGAACAAAATATACAACTGGTATGGCCATGCTCGATAATTTTGATGTTAGATTATATTTCCTTGAAAAGCTTGTACGAGATTGCCATAGAATTAAATTTACAATATAGGCTGTCTACCTTCAGAATGAGCTGAATATTTTATCTCAAATATTTTTATTGGGTTAGGCTTGTACAATTTATAATGAGCAAGCTAAGATTACAAACCTGACAAGTTTCTTTAAAATCCTCTTTTCCAAATATATCCTAAGATATTTAGCCCTAAAGAAATACTTCATTCATTGAGAGACAATTAAGTAAACTTACATTGTTTTGTTCATGAGACAAATCAAATCATAAAACCAGTATCATCACACAGAATAGTGTTTAAATACAAATGGGAAAGTGTACAGGCAAGTATGAATATGATTACATATCGATATAAAAACACCCCGTACGTGATTGAAGGTAACTCCATGTCAGAATTATGAACACTGAACGAATATGTTTAATATGATAATAGTGATAATATGGTTATTTGTCCGGCGAGACTATAATATATGGATGAACCAGATTTAAGATAACACATGTTAGATTTTGGCGCGAAATTCATTCACTCATTTGGCTTGTACGAGTTCGGTATTATGGCTCATGTCGGTTAGTGATGAAAAGGTTAAGTCGAATTCCTAACGAGAACATCTAAATGTAAATCCTAATTCTAATTCCTCACACTAATGTATAAGCCTTATTTAACCCAAGTAAGTAAGTAGACATTCCAAGGTCATGTTAGAGTTGTTATAAGGCTGTCCATAAACTATAGTCTCACCAACTTCTCTCATTCTATGGATTCTGTATCCAACATACTCTACTAAATCAGAATAAATAATATTCGTTTGCACTAGGCAACATATTTTCATAGGATCTAGGTGGTTACCACCTAATGAGATGGATACAGAACACAGTTTAAAAACATTTACGTAACCTACTGCTTCATATGATCTTTATCTTCTTTCATTGTTGTCCAGTTCACTGATTTAAGAGGATCATCTACAAGCGTACGCAAATATGCTTGAAAAGCTCCATAACTCTCGTCCATGGCAAGCATACGGTCTAAATAAGATAGTGCTCGTCGAGTCGTTTCCCATACAACATACTGATCTTCTTTTTTCAAATATTTTGTCAGATTTAAGTAGACATCGTATGAGACAGTAGCACGACTTTAAATATTTAATAATGAGAAAAGGTAGATTTTAGAAAAATCGTATACATGGTAAATTCACATAATTAAAGTATAATTTTGTACTGATGATACACTTGCAAACGAGATAGGTAATATAAATCTTTGTTAGGTCATTCATCAACGAAACCTACGGTAGAAAACTCTTGTAACCACTAATTATATTCTTGTCGATCAATTAATTAATTCTAACTAGTTTTCCTGTTTAGGTCAACTCAATACAGTTTAATTATGCCATACAATTTAACATGTATAGAAGTAAATTTTGTACACATGTGGATTTTAATTACTAACCGGATGGTTCCAACGAATTTCCATTGGTTTCTATTTTATTAGCGATTAATTCTGATCGAAAGTAGTCGTTACATTTTTGTTATGAAATTATTGTTTACTATTTACCGCTTACCAAGAAAAATAAACACAAGTTTACTCCTTATATACGACTATAACCTGGTTAGTTTGATTTATTATTGTAGTAATTTAACAGGTATCATACTGAACCATAAGTAACTTAAACAAAACAAAAACAGTTTCAACAGAACTGTTAATGAACTTCTAACTTTTACAGAAATTGTTAACAATATAAAATCTTTATTTAAAAACATTAAGAAGTATTTTTACATTATCGAATCAGAAGAAACATCCAACGTTGATAAGTGTTAGCTGTTAGTTTTATGATGAAAATTGTGGTTTGTAACAAGGTTGTACAAGGTAGCAACAATGTGATTCACAGTGGATAAATTGTACGATAGTGATAAATAAACAAAACAACTTTCAACCAATATCAAAGTGAGGATCTTCAATACGAACGTCAAGGCAGTTCTACTGTATGGAGCTGAAACTTGGAGAACTACAACAACCACAATCAAGAAAGTACAAGTATTTATAAATAGCTGTCTTCGCAAGATACTCAACATCTATTGGCCGGATACCATCAGCAACAGCCTTCTGTGGGAGAGAACAAACCAACTTCCAGCTGAAGAAGAAATTAGGAAAAGACGATGGAAATGGATAGGACATACATTACGCAAATCGTCGAACTGCATCACGAGGCAAGCCCTAACTTGGAATCCTGAGGGGAAGCGAAAAAGAGGAAGGCCAAAGAACACATTGCGTCGGATAATAGAAGCAGATATGAAAACGATGAATTACAACTGGACGGAGCTAGAAAGGATTGCCCAGGACAGGGTTGGATGGAGAACGCTGGTGAGCGGCCTATGCTCCTTCACGAGGAGTAACAGGCGTAAGTAAGTAAGTAAGTAAGATAAATAAACAAAAGAATTGTTTTCTGTCACTATATTGAAAACACAAATGGTCAGTGGACATTTGTAAATGATGTGCCAGTCGGTCAACAATGCACAAATAGAATTTAGTAAATTTACTTAACCTTGTTATCATTATACTCATAATAGTTCAACAAATATAGCCTTCATCACTTCTCGTTCATTAAACAGTAAACATCATGAAGCATTATGCATTTAAAATCAAGTTACTAATAGTTTATCTAAGAAGAGACGATAAAGCCTTTTATATGCAACAGTATTTGAAGAAGTTGAGAATAAATTCAAAGAAATCTTCCTTGTAAGTCCGAAAACAGTCACTTTTTCACACCTCTTATCTTTGAGGCACTTTTCTGACTGTAACAGTATCCCTAATCTAAACTCTTTGGTTCACTTGAGTGATACGAAATCATTATTTTATATTAATCCTAGCTGTTCCTTCTGATGAAAAATTTTAATTTAACATTATACTATTATTTTTATTATCAAAACAGCTCCGATAGACTTTTTCCATTTTTGTATCATGATCATACTGTTTTATTCATCACCTTATAGAATTTCTCTGAAATATTATTATGGAAAGTGATCTTGTAGGGGTTCGTGTTAGATATCTATTGTTTTCATAGTATCATAATAATTCAGCTGAAACTTATTGTTAGGTTAATAACGACAAGTGCAATACAATATTTGGTTACAGAGAAGGTTGCTGAAAATATATTCTCAAACATTCCTTATGTTAGTATTATCTGTTATTTATATTTCACACCTTTTCAATTCGGAAACTACTTAACTTATCCACGCATATATTCAATTCAATTATACCTTTAATGTATTTAATATGAAGTTCCTGGCCAACACAATAAAACTTTTCATAGACTTATATTTTCAAAGACCGTGTAACAAGAAGCTGTTCATTTAAATATGTAAATAATAAAATTTTAATTTCAATCGAATGCATACCATATGATATTATGTCAAACAATAAATATAGGTAAGTACACTTACTTTGCTAAGTTGAATAAGTCATCCAAAATTTGTGTTCTTGAATGAAGTGGAATAGCCTAATCATAGAAAATATCGAATCAATTAATTTTTTATTTAGTAAATACAAAGTGATGATCAGTAAAGTTGTGGAGATTGTTAAGTTTTTATTGTGACCATGAATCGGTCGATGTTATGGTGAATTGGTTCAAGTTAGATATTAACATCGTTGGATGCCAGCTTAGTAGTCTAGAGGTTAAGCATTCGGGTCTCGCGTGCGGGATCGTACATGTGGACTACTAAGGAGTCCAATACTAGGAAGAAACGGTAGTCCAGTGCTTTCAAGTTTTCAATGATGGTCTAACATTGATCGATTCACGATCTCAATAAAAATAAAAATGATTGTTCACTATATGGCTAAAACGATTTCAAATATTACTTTGCTATAAATAAAATGTTATTAAGTCTAAATCATTATAATTATTGTGACATCTATACAACCTTAATTGGATAAACTGTTGACAGATAATTCACAATCATACGCTAGTTTATCAAAGTAATTATCTTTGTATAGACTTTGAAGGTGATCAATCTTAAGAATTTTTCAGATAACGGTTACTACTTACACGGTGGTCTTTATACAACTGTTCTGTCAATAGTTCCCAGTTATTGTCGGCATAATGAACACGATAAAATCCAGCTTGTTTAATGTTGAATAAATACCAAGAATTTTCTGCAACATCTAGTGTTTGGGTCATTGTCTCTGTTGAAATTAAAGTAAATATTTGTGGAAATGCTATGAAATTGCTGAATGTATATGTTCCTAAGTGAACATCATCGCATAAGAAGGAAAAGAGGTTAATGTATTATCATCAGTGTATGGAAATCCAAATAAATAATTTAACATGATCCAAATCTACGAAGGTTTAACGTTCAATTAAATATACTAAACTAAATCAACATAATCTGAGAGCCATTTCAAACAACAGAGGATTTCATAGATATTTTATCCTAGTTCCAAACTTCTCAGCACTTAGTGCCCATGACGCTATATGATAGAAAGCCGAGAACTTCTAAATCTCAGCCTCATTAAGAAATCCGTAGACCATTGAGGTGAAATCAATCAGTCACATTTTCACTTTCAACCAATCAAAAATACTATATGCCTGCTATTCAACTGCATGAGATATATATGTTTCACTATTAAATTCGATGGATTTCACTAAGTAAATGCTCATGCTGTGAAACCTTAAGATCCTGGGTTCCATTGTATTTTGCGAACATGCTGACAAAACTCAGACTCTTCTGACCACCGTAAGCAAAAATGCAAGCATGTTCGGGATGCGATTCTCCCACTCGAAATGCAAAATGTTGTTTCATGATTGGGTTGCATCGGCACTTGAACTAATGATAGGGAGAGAAGTAGTTGGCCGTGTCGACTGCTTCACTTTTCTTGGGAGTCTTATCAGTCTTTGTGGTCTGGTGTGTGACAAAATCTCAGCACGGATACCGAAGGTTCGACTAGCTTTTACCAACTTGCGTCATTTATGGCGTAGGCGAAATATCCGTCTACCGAACAAGGAACGAGTTTACTGCACAGCAGTTCGTTCCGTCCTACTTTATGGTTGTGAAACATGGCCAGTAAGAAAAGAGGATATTCGTAGGTTACCAGTATTCGATCATAGGTGTTTTCGAAACATTGGTCGTATATCCTGGGACCATCGAGTAAGTAATGCAGTTGTTAGGAAACTGGTACTACCTAAGGATGGCAAATCAATTGACGAGGTAGTGAGACTTTATCAGTTGAGATGGCTGTGACATGTGTTACGTATGCCCAACGACCGACTACCTCGACGTGCGATGTTCAGTGGTATAGGAGTAGATTGGAAGAAAGCTAGGGGCGGCCAAACCAAAACATGGCACAAGTCCATGAAGTCACTGACAAGTGGACTGAGTCATGTTGGTAGGTGTAGACTACCTGGTTGGGGTTCGCGAGACGATAGCAACCGATGGTCAGAGACCCTGAATGACATGGCTCAAAATCGTTAGCAATGGCGCAGGTGCATCCACTATTTGTGTTCTCCCGAATTCTAATCTCCTGAATCCTCGTCTCTCTTTCCTCCTTCCAAATTTATCTCACTGGATTATACTTGTTGAACAACTAGTTGATAATCAATTTCATAATATAGTGACGTAATTTGATTAATGTTCACTTTTATGTCCCAAACTTATCTTATTATTATTATCTTTATCATTGTGATTATTATTATTACACCTGATAACCTTTTTGAGATATATATCCAGCATCCACCCCTATCTACATATTACGCAATTTCTGATTCTTATTCCATTATTTTCTCTCTCACCTCATGTTGATCATATTTATTCTGATCATTGCATTTCACTTATAAGCTGATTCAAGTCAACAACCTCATATTAGTCATCCCAACATTTACGATTTGACTTGATTTTATATGACAAACAATTCTTGCCCACATGTTACAATTTTAAATGATGTACACTGCCCTAAACTTGGACAATTTTATGGACTATTAATTTGGATTCATTATTGTAGAACCTGATGGGAAATTATTGAAAAGAATATTCTTCGTTCATACAATTGTGTTTCCAACCAATAATGTTCGCTTATTACAAAAATTTACCCGAAATTCGATTTTCAATATCTAATCCCCATATTACAATAGAATCTATAATGACAGTGTATGTAAAATATATAATAAAAATTGATATTTCATCGAATGTCTATGCCTCCAATATAAAGATTTAGATTATTAATTCCTGAATAAAGCAAAGAAAAATCACTCAGCTTACTCGACATAAAAAATTGCTACTATACTCAGAAAATCTTTTAACTAAAGTAGTTCAATCATAATATCTAGTTTAGACATCTTACTTAGTTATCACTATTGATTGGTTTGAGTAAATACTTTCTTTATGTTAAAAATAATTGGCAACATCATTCACATTAACAATATATTTAACTAGTTTACAAGTGATACAATTTTACTATTTATTTATTCTCTGAAGAAGTGACTTACACTAAGTCACGAAACGTCGAAAAATCTATTTTAGTTCTACTCATTGGGATACTACAAACATTATTTTTATTTACAATTCTACTATAGTTAAATAAGCGTTATAAAGAATAACTTTGTATTACATGATATTAACTAAATCCACTTAACGTTCATTTATGCTTAAATTAATTTAATATTCAGTGTCAATTTGACCACTTATTTACATAGCTTCCGTGAACTAACTATTTTTCATAGTTATGATTCATGATCAAGATTCCAGAAACATTCATTATATTACTATGATTGATATTTCCAATCATCTACTTTACAATACTTAACTTCCTAGGTTATTCCACCTACCCATATTTAATTCATTAGTATATATTACTACAGTACAATTATCACTTAGTACTTATAATAAGTAAATATATACAAAAACGAGGTAAAGAAAACAATGACTTGCTGTTCATCATCCAAATGACATCTGTTTCATCCCAATTAATAGTCTTTGCTGATCCATAAGTCAATGGTATTTTCCAAGTAAAGCTAAAAGTAAAAGGATCAATTAATTTAACTTATTTTTACATAAGTATTTTTTTTCTAAATCATTACTATGAGTGCTTAATAGCTGTATAGATAGATGGATTAAACTGTGGTGTATACTGTTTATGTATATAAGTAGCATGTAGCACCAATCGGAAGTGGAATGCATGCCAGCAGAACACTGGGGAGATCCAATTGAAGAAAACAGAAAGGGAAAAAGAAAATGATTATTATAACAACGGAATTGAAATATTCATAAAGCATGTAAAGGACAACTGGTGGAACATGTGTAAATCATGTATTTGATGCATGGTTTTCATATTTTACCAAGATATTTTGTAATTTTGTATTGAATTATAAATTGATCTTTCTCACCTGGGCCTTTGATCACTACAAAACCACTAAAGTAAACGATAGAAATGTTTTGTATTCATGATAAGTTTTACTCCGAAAATTACTCAATTAATCACTTGCAGGCTATTAAATCAGGTTAATAGTACTGAATATTAAAGTATATTGACTATAAACATGACTTCAGACTTCGTATCAGCCATTCGATAGTCTTTAGATCATTACGTGTAATTTATTTCATGATACTCGTGTACGTACATACGTATACTATCCATATATCATTAGTAAACGTTTGAATTATCCCGAGTATAGATTTTTATTCATCTTTGCTAACATATGTGCATCGTGTAACCTATTCGTTGATATAGCCATTATGTCACAAGTTATTTAAAATGAATAGATTAGGCTAGAAATGGAATCTAGCTGATGAATCCCAAATAGGACGAAGGTTGCATGCTAGATTTCACTTCTAGCCACAATCCATCGATTCTAAACATATAATATAATTTAAATTAGAACAGTATAAGAAATGATTTAAAACTTTTAAATCATTCTAATGAAGAAATACAATAAAACTAGTTTACAACATAATCATATGACATATTATTGTACTTCATTTATTTAGATAGGTAACATGTATTGCTTGTTTGAATTAGTAAAGCTTTGTTTATAGCTTTCTATATATGAGTAGATTCATTAATTATATCAAAGTGTTAGGAGAGTCGGAAAAATATACCAATAATTATCATGTTAAGTCCAATGGTGTCCTTGGACCTAAAATGTACATTTCCCATTGGTCGATATTTATTTAACGTGTTATTTTCCTGTTGGCCAATATTGTACAATGTTATTTTCTACTTTGTGGTACGTTGTGGTCTGCTTGACTAGTATATAAACAAAGTATGTTTGAAATATAATGATTCATAACTCCGAGGCTGTGACTTGTGTTCTTGACTCAACTGGCTAGGGCAGACAGCGAAGCAGGGCCAATCAGGGCACCAGGTCGTCCTTACATGTTTACGTGTCCACTGTCACCGAATCGATCGATAAATAAACGCTGCGTATCAAACTCTGCAGTTACACCCGTTACAACACAAAGTAAACATAAAACAAATGATCCCTGTGTTCTTGTGATATTTAGAAGTGTTACTACTTATTGTGCAATAAAACCATATGTAATTTTAAACAAATTTAATTGTTCTACTATTAAATGGTCTCCTGTACACCTGATACGATTATCACAATTGAAAAATACCATTCACTTACTGAAACTACCACAGAGATATAATATGTCTAAGAACAATTAAAATTTAACACTCCTTAATCATATAAAACATATGAGTTTTCTATGAATGTACTTATGTTCAGCAATATATATATAAATATATAAGCTTTAAGTACTGTTTTGCGTCTTATGTCACATGTTCAGACAAATATTGTAATACCAAATCTTCAAGTTCCTAACATCATTTTAAACCACACTGTAGGCTATCCTTCCTTAGAAAATAATGTTTTAATTTACATGTTCAATTTAGATAGATACCATCTATTTCGCTAATATATTGAAATATATCATGCAGTTTGAATGACTTCTAGGTTCAAGAACATAGATCTATGTAAAAACAGTTGATTGTTAATTGTATTCAGAAAATGTTAAGTATGTTTCCATATTCATAAATTTCATTTAAAGAAACGTTTCAGTAGAACTTCTTGATATCCTATAATAATGCACACTTATTAGTACGTGCATAAACAAACTTTAATGAAACTAAACAGTCATTTAATACCTTAATCAGCTAAACGGATCTAACAAGCTGAAAGTCTGTTAGTTCAACTTCTTCTTTCTCTAAAACACTTTTAACATTGTTTTTAGTAGACTTCAATATGGATTAAGCGAATGAATTAGCTGAAACTATTTTCTACTGAATGCTATTGGTTTTGTCAAACTTCAGAATAAACAGTGTATGTATTAGGGATTCATGTTCAATAGAACAAGTAATTTTCAGTACAAAATTATGTTGACTTTTTTCAATGTCTAATAAAACTTAGTTTTAAATGATAGATTGATTAATAGTAGTAAAGAATGGTTGGTAACACATGACATATCTGAAAAATCCCATTTAACAATTAATATATTAGAGAAAGATAGTGAACACTAACTCTAACATTAACAATACTACTCTCCCAACTTAATACTAGTAAAAATATTACATTTAAAACAACTTTCTGTTTCACTATCATTATTATTGTTATTGATGTAATAACAAGTCAGCGTAAATTGGGTAATACTTGGAAACATACAATTACATTCTAATCGTTCGCTATCGATTGAAATAGAAAACTGGGGATTTATTACTCATTATGACACTTGTAATACTAAGAAAATCCCTTGTGGTTAAAACAACTAATGATCTAATAAACATAATGTACATAATAAAAATGACTAATAGTATAAATCATATTATCTCGTAAAATTATAAACCATTTAGATAAACGCACTAAGCAACTAATGAATCACAAATGATTGTTTCTTTGAATACAAACTTATCTGATTCGGAGAAGAAAAAACCTTTACAAAATATCTTAAGATAAACGAATATGGCAATAAATAATGATAAATGCAGGCTTATGAATTTTGGTTCGTTCTATTTCATCGAGTCGTGTGGTTTAGCAATGTTTTGCCTGGCAACAAAACTTACTAATCAATCATACCATAAAATAATATTAAGGTGGCCAGTTTGACTAGTAGTAGTTATACAGGAATAACAGCATTCAAACACTAATCAATCTGTAAAACACTAGTTTCACAAAGTTGAATACTGTCCATCGGGTTATTGATTGTTTTAAAAACAATTCTGGGCAATGATTCACTGGCGGGTAAAATATAACAGAATAGTTCAAATAGGGCTAATTGGAATAAGTCTTCCCACTACTTTTACTCCTTAAAGACACAAATATCCTTTAGTGGTAAAACAATAGTTAGAATACATGATATTATTCAACCTACTTGTATGGTGAGGGATTTTTTGGCGATTTAGCATCCTGTGGCTCTAAGTAATGTTTTTGTACAAATTGAAATTGGCCATCAGCATTTCTTTGAATGATTACTAATGGGTAATTCATCTGTTTCATCCACGTATCCATTACGGCTTTAACATTCACATCTTTACCTGCACGTTTTGCTGCCTGAAATTGAAATAAATATTTCAGCAATATTTTAGAATAAATATTCAATGAAAATAACACTGACAGTGGTAGAATATTTCTGCATTGTTATAATACAATATCTTTGATGGCGGACGGAGATTGTATTTATTCTCCAAATTTTGACTGCTAATAACATATAAGTATGCATTCATTCTTTTACACATTGCTCACATTTTATCGACTCATACTTTTCTAATAAAAAAAAGAATACGTTTTCAATATAGATCTAATTATTAAAGATTATAAATTCTTTGATAATTCTAACTTTATTGGTTGAGATCATGAGTCATTTGAAGTCAGACATTGATGGAAAACCTGGAAGCACTCCAAGATAGTTTTGTCCTAGCATGGGACTCCTCGGCATTGCACACCAACGATCCCACCTCGCGAGACTGTAACCCAGAACCTATCGGTCTCGCGCATGGATGCCTAACCTCTAGACCATTGAGCCGGCATTCAATCGTGTTAATGTCTAACTTCAACTCATCCAGGAAATTGAGGGACACATTCACTATTGTCTTCAGTGAGTTACTATCTCACAACAGATTTGGTTGAACTCTACTGGTCACTGCTTCTCACTGGAACTCCAAGAATGTGTACTGTCAGAAGTCTCACGGAAGGACGAAACGGCTCTCCAGTGCTTCCAGGTATCCCATGGCGGTCTAGCTTCAATTGACTCATGATCTCAACTATTGAAATTTTAACTTTGTTTATTACCCTAAAAAATTTCAGATAACAATGCTGAACGAAATAATGGAATTGTTTGAATTTTAACTCCTAAGATTACCTGAAATATAATTTGTCCCAGTAATATATAAGATACTTCAATTCTAGTATAAACACGTATTTATTCCCAACCCCGAATAATAACTGTACTACCTAGTGTAACTTCAATATTCAACGAAATTCAAGTTAACATGCAAACCATTCACCATGAAACATATAAACTATTTCATTTAATAATTTAAATACTGAACTGATCATTCCCGTGTTTCATTAAACCATAATAGTCAGAAGAACACAGATAATTAGATAGTTCTGTTGATCTGACAATTAATTTCTCAATAATTACTTACTTACGCCTGTTACTCCTAATGGAGCATAAGCCGCCAACCAGCATTCTGCAACCAACTCTGTCCCCGGCCTTCCTTCCCAGTCCTATCCGATTTTTGTCCATTCTTCTCATGTCGGTCTCCATTTCTCGACGTATGGTGGTCTTTGGTCTTCTTATCATCCTTTGGCCTTCAGGATTCCAAGTGACGGCTGACCTTGTGACGCAGTTTGGTGCTTTCCTCAATGTGTGTCCTATCCACATCCAGCGCTTCCTCTTGATTTCTTCCTCCACTGCGATCTGCTTTGCTCTCTCCCATATTAGGTTGTTGCTGAAAGAATCTGGCCAACGGATCCAAAGTATTTTGCGTAGACAACTGTTAACAAACACTTGTATCTTCTGGATGATGGTTGTGGTAGTTCTCCAGGTTTCCGCCCTGAACAGGAGAACTGTCTTGACATTTGTATGGAGAATTCTGAATTTGTTGTTGGTTGGCAGTTGTTTTGAGTTCCAGATGTTCTTCAGTCGTAAATATGCTACTCGAATTTCTCACCAATGCATGCTTATTAATTCTTCTTGGTTTTATAGGTCAGACTATCAATCCTCATCGCTCATTCAAATGATCAGCATTTTCTAATTACGCTTAAATTCCAATATGCTTTCACTTTTATTTATTATGATCATCACATATCCACTCATTACCTCCCTGGAAGATTCCATAATCGTTTAATCTCCATAACAAAGTTCTTCAAGAACTATGGCTTACCATTACATATTCACACGTACATTAAATATTTAAATAAACCACATTCTCCAGCTTTACTCATTTTCAATGATCTTAATTGTGATTCTGCTTAGCTACCACCTTTTTTTCTTGGTTTTTAAACGATTAAGTACAATAAGATGTAAATTTAATTATCACCAATTATTTGTCAGAACCGTCAACGGTATAAATAATAAGTGTGAATGATAATTTGCATAAATCAAATTAACAAGGTAAAGGTGTTAACCCGAATAGAAATCAGTTAGTATCTAAATGAAATATGACATACACCCGATTGATAGTAAACTATATTATCGCATCCAATCTAATTTCCGTATACGTGACACAGAAGATATTATCATCATCATAAAATTGGTATATATGCCTTAATTTAAGCTGAATAAGAATAATGACACTTAGTAAACATACTTCTTTTTATTATTCGGTAATATACTACAAGAAAATAAAGTATATTGTTATATGAAAAGTTTGCCATATTGTATGAAAATCATTAACACAACTTTTACATATAGTAGGTTGTAAAGCAACTTGACAAGAAATATCAAATTTCAGTCGGTATAGATAAATGACATACGTGATCCAACGAGATCAAAATTTATCAATCATATTATTATTAGGTGAAAGAATAAATTCCATAGTGAATAAAATCAATGACATACCTCAGTGAGCGCCCTCCACAAATCTTCATGAACAGTATTTTTATATTTGTTTTGATATAGATAATTCTGTAACGAAAATAATGTCATAGAAACAATTATCATAAATATGCTATATATATATCAGAAGTGGTTTGTGGAGATTTTGAAATTTCACAGATTGAAATCATGAGTCAGTTGAAGGTAGACCATCATGGGAAACCTGGAAGCACTGGACGGCCGTTTTGTCCTAGTATGGGACTCCTCCAGGTTTTCTATGGTGGTCTAGCTTCAATTTACTCATGACTTCAGCCTGTGAAATATATGTATATATATTCAGAAATTCCACTCATTTTTCATGTATTTCTCATCTAAATATAGGATCAACAAATTCAGTCATGATCTCTTATTATTTCACAATTCCATACAAACTTCATTTTAATTTCTGTCGAACAACTAAGGTCTGAGTAATAACTGATGAGTTGATCATCATCATCAACATCAACATCGGCAGCAGCAGCAGTATAGTTTTTTTAATTCACGTTGACTGGATCACATATATCTGGTAATTGGTTTCCGTCAAAAATATTTCTGATAAGGGATCTGATTTTTCGTTAAATACCTTTCTATTTTATTTTACAGTTTGTATGAAATTGTGAAATAACAAGAGATCAAGACTGAATTTGTTGATTCTACATTTAGATGAGAAATATATGAAAAATGTGTGGAATTTCTGAATATATTTTTATTATCAAAACGGAATAATCAAAAATTTGATAAGGACTTTTCAGTGTTGGTGTTTAAACATAATAAGGAATTTTATCAATGAAATTATAACTGTTTATGATGTATTATAAAGCAATAAAACAGAATAGAATGTATTCGAAACTCTTATGTAGTCTGAAACGTTTGTGGTCATTTGCGACAGTTTTGTTATGACAGTCTGATTCGACTATGGAAATATTGAATTTTTGTCACTGTATACCTCACTGTCAGATATATTTCATATGATCTGTGTTTATCAACTATGTATTCCATTTATCCTTGAAAACAGAATGCATAAGCCATTGACAAAATCAATGTATTTCAAAGAGTATGTGTATCATGTTTGGTCGTTGTTGTTTCAGTAAATTCTACGTAAGTTAGTACAAACTTCTCGATTTCTGTGACGTGACTTTTATATGGTTGGAAATTACTACTTTTGAATTTTACATGATACCAGTTATAGATGATAAACTGATTTCTTCTTCATGTGAGAATATGGATTCATAACTTTTGTAAGTATATATATATACCTGATTCAAAACATTTTCACTATGGCTAGACTTTGTACCATTTTTCAATTGTACTGAATATTTGGATGTGAAACTGATGACCTTTGTAGTGAACGTCCATATTACATAACAGTCTATTGTTTACTTATTTAATTCTGCCTAGGATGGTCTGACGGAAAGTATATTGGATATTTAATTATTATTAAATAAGCATTGGTGAGACTTTGCGTAAACTTGTTTTCTATTCCCTTTTTGTTCAATCGAAACGTGTTCTTGCTAAATATACGATTTATTCCCTTATCCTGTTTAACGTTAGTTCATTTAAGTTAGCTTACCTATGAAGAAGTGATTTGTTCCAAGTTGCAAAGCATTCAAAACTCAATCTACTGCTCATTAAGACAAGTACATCACTTCTTAATTCAAATCACTAAATAGTTGTAGGATCGAATGGCTATTTCTTAGTAGAATGGGACTCCACAATAGTTTAAAAGCCTCTCTACTAAGAATAAACATATGTTTACCAATGACGAATTTCAAGAATTAAATTCCTGAGTTTTGGTAAGTTGCTGTGATCACTGAAATTCAACCTAGTCGATAATGTGGAGGTTTCCATTCACTGACACTGGGTGATTTTCGATCATTATTGAAGTTAGAAGTTTAAACCATCAGGTACAAACTTGGTCGTCTGAATGTTAATAGCTTATTGAGAAGCCTCAAGTTCCGATCTCTGATCATTTAATGTCAAGAATGCGAGTTGAGATGGTTCATATGTTCAAACAAAACAGGTGTCTAATGTTTCGAGGTTTACGATTGTTATCTAGCCATAGTTAGAGAATAGTACAAATCCACAAAAATGAACGATGTCCACAAATCTCCTTTGCTTTTAGAACTTAGAATTTTATTATTCTAATTACATTACTATTACATATTGTTAAATTAAAGCAGTTATTAAATGGGTAATTTAATAATCACTGGCTATTATTGTTGTTTTTTTCTTCTTTTACTGATAAAAGGATAAGTAGCACCTGCAGATAAATCTTATTTTACCAAAGAATTTACTGAATATAAAAAATGTAATAATGATTTTTGAAATCCAGTACACATTTTGCTTAAAACCATTTCTATGAAATTTTCAACTATTGGTTGTTATAAAAAGAAAGAATTGATTATTTAGTGAGGTAAATGATCTTTTCCGAAGAGCCTTTTCTTTTACTTCAATGGGTCTTGTTAGTGAATATGTTTGTACTATATCATAACGTATATGGAATGAGTTAATACCTAATAGACTAAATTTGTGAAAATCATTACAATGTGTTAGGATAGTCGCTGCCTAGCATAACCTGCAGTCACACACACACGTTACAACAATTGGCGACGGGGTAGAGAAAATTTTGAACCCTCTAATTGGACGAGATTCAGCATAATTATTTTGACCAATCAGTATCCAGATTTATCATTGGCGTCCTTGGGAATCATTGGTTGTTAATTGATTACAGTATTTCTCAAAAACCCTGCAGTCTCCCGTTACCCAGCTGACTCAGAAAATGACTAGCCTTCCCGATCAATTTCAGCTACTACTATATCGCCAGCAACAGCGTGTTTTGGACTATTTACGAACGCGACTGCTAGATCTCCCATGTTTCGGAGATGTGAAAGAAACTGATGAATTCATTTCTCACTTACAAACTGAACTCGAGAATGACTGCAGGACATATGAAGATAAAAACAAAAGCCTCCATGAATCCTTTATGATCAGTAATGCAAATGAGGCAGTCGCTCATAATCCGTCCAGCGATTCAGAAGTGCCCAATTCAGAAGCATGCCCTGTTGTGGGTTCAAATCCCACTGTGCCTGAAACATGTGAGGTATCCAGCTTACAAGAAGAACCTCTCGTGCCAGAAAATGTTTCCCGTGCATCAAATAATGGTCAGAAATCAAATACAAATTTCGAAGATGCTGTCTATTTTAGTGACCTATTACCCACTGGAATTTTGAAGAGGTCTGATGAATATGTTTCACAAGAATCAAACCTTAATGACCTCATGTCTGGTGTCGCTAATCCTCATCATCTAGTCAGTTTTAGTGAACCCTCTACTCAATGCGCGAAATATGCTTTAAATAGAGTCAGACTAACTGTTACTTGGGTATATGAGGACCCAACGTTATTTCGCGGGGGAGGACGGACGCAGAAAATTTTAAAACGCAGATATGAACTCCGCATCTTTCGAAAAAGGGGAGGTGTTAGGATAGTCGGAAAAAGAGACCAATAATTACCATGTTAAGTTCAATGGTGTCCTTGAACCTTAAATGTACATTTCTTATTGGTCGATGTTTATTTCACTTGTTAAATATTGTACAAATGTTGTTTCCTATTTTATGGTACGATGTGGTTTGTTTGCTTGGTATATAAATAGAGTATGTTTGAAATACAATGATTCATAACCCAGAGGCTGTGACTTGTGTTCTTGACTCAACTGGCTAGGACAGACAGCGAGGCAGGGCCAATCAGGGCACTAGGTCGTCCGTACGTGTTTCCGTGTCATTGTCACAGATCGCGATCAATAATAACGCTGCTTATCAAAAACCTGCAGACACACACACCCATTACAACACAATGTTTTATTGAAACTGAAATTAGAACAATCTTTCGTCTTGATACACATTCAGGTATAAATTAATAGAAGCTAAGAACAATGAAGAAACTTATTTCCCTTGATTTAATTATTTTATTATCTTAGTAAATTTGTCTGAATGAGTAGATAACTTTACTACTACCAACATGAATGACTCACTAACTAAAGATAATTATTAGTCTATTTAAACAAGTGTTCATAAATGTCGTTTACAAATGAAATGAGAAAGTATAAGTAATTTACTGTAATACTTTAAGATGGTGGTAGGAGGTAGTTAACAAGAAATCCTGTAGGGTACATGAAATGTGGAGTCACCCAGACTAGTAGCCACATTGCAACTCGGTCAAAAAGATTTGATCTACACTTAGAAGGAAATGACATACATGACAATGATTGTCACCCAGTGATCGATCAATTGTAAACTGTAATACTTTAGAGAACTGTGGTGTTTATATGAACTAATTATTTCTTTGTACGTAATGCCCGCCTGATTTTGAATTCCGAATATAATACGTTCGTTATCTTTAGTCTAAATTGCGTTATTTCTGGGATTCCTAGTTCGTGTAATAATTCAAATACTTCTAATACTTCTAATTAACAATACAACGAAAAAATATTTACTCAATTGTTCTCAATTCGCTAAAGCAGATGTAATACTGTTTGTTTGAATACAATCACTAAAGTGTCATATAATGTTATAATAAAATGAACTTTAAAAAGAAAACTAAATGAGGATTGTTAATTAACTTCAACATACTTTTACACCTGCACGAAATGTGTTTCGACCCATAAATGACTCCATCATTCTTAAAACGGACGCACCCTGAAAGAAAGTATACCACGTGATTGATAACAACTAATTACAGATTGTATATAGAGTGACAACTACTTTACAATTGTTATAACATACGACAGAAATTTAAGATAAGGATTTAAGTAACCAAATTTCACAACAACACTAAACTTCAAGTCACTGTAACAAAGTAGATTTTAGCATACATAAATTACGAAACATCCACTAGATTACTTGGTGAGTATGAATAGTGTATGGAAATCACCGAAAATTTATTAATCTGACTTTATTTTTATTTAAAAAATATTGAAAAACTTGCCTTATTATAAGAAATTGGATCGAAAATTTCATTAATTTCATTTGGATAGTAAACAGGTTGTATAACTGGCCGAGATGTCGCTAACGAATCACTAATCAATACTTTCTGTATATCATCCAGAAGAAATTGTTCATCCTTTATGTTTAATATAAAGTAAATTACAATCGCTTATTAAATATATCATTATCAATAAACTGAAAGACATTCATTTAGATATTGTTCATTCTTTCAAGATACGTATTTGAATATTCTGAATAACTAGATTGCATAACTTCTCAAAATAAATATAGGTGTCTACTAGTTTTCGTCTATTTTAAATATATTCAATAGAATCCATGTTATAATTAAATAAGGAAATTCGATTGATGTGTATCATCTACAGAATCACTGAACACTTAGGATTCTTGTTTTACTTACGATCAACTTCATTTGATAGACAGATTAGTAATCCTTTACATCTTAATGTGTCATCAGGAAGTTGATAATAGTTTCAGATTGTTAGAAGTAAGAATTTTTGCAACCTAATAATACTTCAAACTCAATTGATATTGTTGACTTGAATCATCATATTGATGTTTAGCACTGCAATTGATCAGTCACTCATTGGCATATGTGCATGCTGTGCAGACTGGCTCGATATTGTCTTAGTTCACGAGCATTATAAACAAAGATGGATAATGTCTTGTAGTGGAATCTAGAACGTGCATTCTTTTCTATTTGGTACTCGTTAATTGGATGTACTTATATCCCAGATTTGATGTTCCTTCTGGGACACGCACCCACTACTGTTTGCTTCAAATACCATCGCATTATCCACTTAGCTACTGAGTCCTGATAGCCACCTGCTTGTGCGTTGGGGTACATTTTAAATTCAGTTAACCTCTCAATGCAGAGTTGATAACAAATTACTGTGTACGATGTAAGTTTTCACCGCTTCAGTCGGATTACTATGACAATTTTCTAATAAAAATGTTGACAGCTCACTTCTTTTTTTTCTTATTTGACAATTGTAATACTTATACCTTAGTATGTAAATAGTTATAAATTTTAAATGATTGTACATTAGTATGAAAATGCTGAAGATCTCAAAAACATTAAAATACAATAATAAAACGGTTTGCCACATTTGACTGAACATAATAGCTCTGAAGAATAGGGCTACAGATCAACTAAAATATGATATCAACTGATGATGTCAATTATATATCAACTACTCGGGTTGATATTTTTTAAAATTTTATTTCATGATCGATTCCCTTTTTTATACCAAGGACTTAAGAAACACGAAAGCAGTTATTGAACAATGATTAATTCGTATAAAATAAATACAACATACCATTCCCCATTCTGGATGAACATGATCCACTCCAATATATTCAGCGAAACTTGCGAAACCTTCATTTAACCATAGATCGTCCCACCAATTCAAAGTAACTAAATTTCCAAACCACTAAAAATATAAATGTAAAAATATATCCATATCCTACAATTTAACAGCTGTTTAGAAATATCTAATTAATCATTCTATTAATAAAAACTCTGTAGATTTGATTATTTTATTCATAAATACGACATTGGTCTACTTTATATACTGAAATAAGGAAATTTTTTGTTCGTTTGAATTGTTGGTTTTGTTCGTCCCAGTATAAACATCAAAGTGATGATAAGTATATTTTGTAAAGTTACTTAAAAAAAACTAGGATTACTCTTCATGTTATAAATAAGTAAATAAACTAAATGTCGGTATAATACTGTCAAAATGACCTACATCAGAATAACACAATATTTATATAAGTAAATCAACTGGTAAAAATATTCTAGTTAAGTATATTTGTAGACATCAAAGCGTTTACATGAAGCAAAACATGTGATAGTAGAAGGGTACTATTCATCTACAAACGGACTGTATAAAACACAGATTATTCACTAGGTATATCCATCATCTGGGTACAAGGTAAAATATATTTTGTAGGGGTAGTAGTAGTAGTAGTAGTAGAAAGAAGCATATGTTTATCAAATATATTACTCAACTAATTTACAGACATCTTTTTAATTAAACATAGATTATCATTGATTAATTATCTGTATATATTTCTTAAATAATATACATAATATTTTATTTAGCTTCTTATATTCTCTTTAAAATTAATTATTGTAATTGTACGTTCAAATTTCTGTTTATTTGTCATACATTACCTGATGAGCGACTTCATGTGAAATAACCGTCGCCACTTTTTGTTGAGTAGCTGCTGTTCCAAATTCAGGATCCCATAACATTGTTGCTTCTCTATATATCATTAGACCCCAATTCTCCATTGCTCCAGCAGCAAAATCAGGCACCGCTACCATATCTGATAATTAAAGATGAAAATGATAAATTTACTATTATAATTTATGTAAACGTTTAGTAAGTGAAAAATAGGCTCTTTTATCGTTGACTTCTTTCAATATCATTTTTACATATCTAGTATAGTGTTTAATTAGTTTTCGCCTATATTGATCAACCAACGCCTACAGAAGAAATGTCGTTAATGTTATATAATAGATAGAGATAATACGAAAATGTAAAAATAAATAGGTTAAAAAATGCTCCACTTTAGAATGATGTAATGAAGTTATCTACCTCAGGGCAGTTAAACTACCGTACACTATAAGTTCACTCATAAAAACTAGCACATTAAAACTCTAGTCACTGAAGTGTACTAGAAGTGTCGGATTTCAAATTAATGGATTTACATTGAACTATCTTATGTTAAAACTCCCACCTAGAGCAGTTCTAGGGTTACTGTTAGTTTAAAGTCCAGATAAAGTCGGGTTGTTGGGCATTGGTTTAGTAATTCCATTCCTTTATAAATGCACCTAACTAAAATAACGCTAGTCAGAAAAAACAATTAAAACTATATAAACACACAGTCATTTAACTTCATGAAAACAATAAATCTTTTTATTGATACAAAACCGGGGGGCGGGTTCGTGGATGCGCACTGCTGAGGAGTCCCATACTAGGACGAAACGGCTGTCCAGTGCTTCCGGGTTTTCCATGGTGGTCTAGCTTCAATTGGCTCATGATTTCAACTTGTGAAATTTTGGTATTAATCATTTGATTTTTATCATAATATGAATGTGATTTATAGAAGTGATTGTCGTTGTATATGAATATTCCAAAGAATAAACCAGCCTTACTAATAATAATAAATGACAGTGTAAGCGAAATTTCAGCTAATACTCTATTTCCTGTATGTGTAGTTTCGGTTATTATTTCAAGCCCATATACCTTATTATAGCTTTCAGACAGCCCATTCTATTCATTCTAGTTGAGTCACATTCTGACCTTGTTGGTTATTCCCTTATCAGTCTTGACTGTTTTTATATGAGCGCGTATGTGTGTGTACATTTCTTATCCCATTACTCATCACATGTCTGTAACTTACTTTTGTGTAACCATATTGATTAACGCTTAGTTAAATGGGAGCTGGCTTACCCGCCATCTCCACTGGTCGTCGTTTCTCTTCTCTCCATTCATTTCGCGTCATATTCAAAATATATGTATTCAAAAGTCCATTCTCGTCATTTACTTACTTAATTCCGTTATTGACTAACGTGATTTAAGTCGATGATTATATACAAGGATAGGTGATAACAAACATTCATTACGATCATCTTGAAGTCAGAACTCAAGCCACTAAAGTAGAGAGCCCTTTCGACAACATCGTTCGATCTAAATGACGATTAAATAACGGGCCTCCACAAAATATGATTAGAATATCACATGCAATAAATATTCAAGTATATTAAAACTGTTCAGCAGAAACAGATCCTATATATATATATATACTACTTATAAAAATGTTTCATCTATTCTGTATAAAATTATAAAACACTGACCTGTTTTTCTAAGTGGATAAGGAAGTTCAAAATATTCTTCAAAAAATCCAATAATTTTCTTCCCTGTTTCAAGAGCATATTTGGCTGAATTAATTTTATCTGATCTTGTCCATACAGTAAACTTTATTGTTTATATTTGAAAAAGAAAAACACAACAACAACAACAACAACAACAAATGTGTAATTAATAACCATCTTTTTAAAAAAAAAGAAAATTACATAAACAGAACAAAACACAATGAATATTAATAGGAAACAATTATTTATTTATTTATTTATTTATTTATTTGTTTGTTTATTTGTTTATAAAGTTACAATGGTAATTTATTTACTACAATTTACTTAATTGTATTGTATTGTATTTCCAATACGTTAGATTAGGTTATATAATTTAAATGAAAGAAACTTTGTTTTTAATATGACTTTACTTCATAGAAGTAAACATTTTAAACATTTTATAATGTGAATGAATTGAATGTTTACAAAAAAATTATAATAAATACATTATTTCTAATTCTAGAATAAAACATATTGTGGTGCGTGCTACTTATGTTGATATAAGTAGTATATGACGTGAGTCAGGAATGTAATGTCTGGCAACAGAAGATGGGAAAGATCAAGAAAGGAAGAGCAGGAATAGAAAGCAATTAGTATGGAAATGCGAGAACAATGAAGTCCGAGATAATTATTGAATATTTTGCTAATTAAGTATTATAGTATGGTTTTTCTAAGTGACTCTGTAATTTTGTGCAAAGTATAATTCGGTTGTCCTCACCTGTGTTCTCCTTCACTACAGTACTACAGATTAATAGTATTCTGAAATTTTCATACATATAAAGTGTGAAAACCTGTGAATTCATTCATAGAATTTCCATTAAATAATAAGACTGTAATGAATGAAAAGATAGGTTGAGGAAAGTTAATGTATTTTAATACTAGATTACAGAGTTCTTCTATCAGATATGAAAATTATACATTCAGTACTTCATTTGAAAATCCTTCATCAGTTGTTTCAAATTTCTATGTTCCTATTTTCTTCGGTTCGATCATCTCAACTTCCTACTGCAAAATTTTCAACATTGGATTGGTGTTACACATTATTTATGTTAACAGACATAAGTAGCATACACCATGATACATTCTGATATGAATTATCATGTTCAAATGTACTACAAACTCTAAGTTATTTTTTGTATACATATATATCTGACTAAGTATACACGCACCTATCAATCCACCCATTTCAGTGGGAAATCAAAACTAGGATTATGTATAACATATATTTGCTTACTATGTATAATGAAAGGTGTATTACATGATAGTTTTAAAAATAATGAGGAGAGAAGGATTAGCTTTTAAATCACTAAACATTCAATTGACAGACTATGTCATATACTAATTTCAGGGTAATTTATAAGGTCTATCATAAAATAATAAATTATATTCATTTTCATTTCCTTAAAATAACAAATGATTTACCTAACCGTTACACCAATCTCGAGTTTTTGTTGTTTTTGTTTTTCTTCTTACTAAAAAGCCCCCTCATTCTTAAATCGACTTTATATATTCTTAAAACATTTCATTCCCAATATTTTATTCACTAAACATAATCCCTTAGAATTCAGTTTACTTGTTTACGTTACTGCAATGTTAATTTATGAGTTTTATACTTGTTCGCTAAGTATTTATGTTTCATTGACCTTAAGGAGACTTTCTTGATTTTACTCATCATATATGATTTTGTTTTAGAACCTTATGTGTCGTCTATATTTCATAATAAAATTTATCCTTTAAAATTATACATACATTTATATATAGCGCTATAGTATGGTGATTTTTGTCCAGCTCACCGTTTGATGAACTACATACCTATAAGTGTATCAAACGCAAGTTGTCATTTAGGACATTAAATTATAATAGATTCTAAACTCGTGGTGAAAAACCTAATGAAGTCATGTTATTCTATTAAAACCTTTACCTTCGATCCTTTTCGAGTAGGAAGTTATCATGGAGAGGCTATAATTTATGGACGAATCAATCAGGTTTAGGATAAGAGTTCTTGGGTTTTGGTATGAAATTCACTTACCCACTTGGCCAAATAGCGTTTTGGCATTTCAGCTGTCAGTTCGCGATGAAAAATCGCAAATCCAATTTCTAATTCTTGTTTATATCATTACTAATGTTTGAATTCATGTGTAAGCGAATATTAATCCTGAAATTCTGTTGTTAGTTATTATGAGATATATTATTCCAATATACTGTTTCTAGGAACCGATCTCTAACTTTATGATTTATTCATTTATGTACGTTTAAATTCTCATCATCAATTCCAAATAGAATCATCTAATTAACTGACAATAGGCATAAAGTTTTATCAGTAACCGATAATAATTTACATTTGCATATAGTTTAGTTTATGAAAAGGACGTTCCAATATATTCTTACTTAAAATTATAGTTACATGGCAATGAATAATTTTTGATCAACTCATTAGCTAAGTAAATTTGAATTAATGTTGAATTGTACTACATAAAAGCAATCCTGAGGATAATTGGGTACCTTTATGTAAACGGAATATACTCATTGAGATATGAACTAAGAAATATTGTCAGAAGAGGGCTTTGTGGAGATTTTAGTAATTTAATAGTTAAATTCTCCACAAAATCATCTGATAATAATCATCATGTGCTTACTAGTAACTGGCTTCAAGAGATATATTTTTGGAGTTCTAGTGAGAAGCAGTGACCAGTAGAGTTTAAACCAGGTCTGTTGTGCGACAGTAACTCACTGATCACAATGGTGTAGTGTGGTACAATTTCGTGAATTATTTGAAGTCAGACATTAACACTGTTGGATGCCGGCTCAGTGGTCTAGATGTTTAGCGTTCGCGCGCGAGACCAATAGGTCCTGGGTTCAAATCCCGCGAAGCGAGACAGTGGATGCCCATTGATGAGAAGTCCCACAATAGGACGAAACGGCGTTGGAGTGATTCCATGTTATCCATGGTCATCTAGCTTCAACTGACTCATAAATTCGACTACTATAAAATATTGGTTCAGCGGTGAGTTCCATTTTTGACGAATTCATTTTCAAAGCTATACAATCGTAAATATATCCAAAATGATACTAATGACAATAATATTAATAATACAAAACAGAAATGTTTGCTGGTCGGCGGCCTATGCTCCATCGGGAGTAACAGACGTAAGTATGTAAGCAAGTAAGTAAGTAAGTTCTAGGCTATTATCATTCTTCCTAAATTCATTCAATTTTATGAATAATAAATAAAAATTTAAAAAGATTATCAAATTTTAATGGAATTGTTTTAAATTATAAATGAGTTAAATGAATAAATTATATTCAATTTCAACATACATTTCTTCCTTTAGAATCAATACCACGAATTGATGCGAATTGTGAAACTACAAATGCTAATAAATATGTTGACATATTAACACTTGGTTCATATTTATCAAGATACCAATTATCATGAAGTTCTTCAGTACTTTCTAAAGCCATATTTGATAGTGAATGATAATCTTTTTGACGTATCAGGCTAACCTGTATAAACCGTTTGTGAAAAAAAACAAAAGAGAAATGAATGAAGCAATTCAAATTGACATATTCAGTTGCCATTGAACTTGTTTACAAATAATTTATATTCATTATTGGAAATATTAAACTGGAATTAAAAAAATTGAACTAGATTCATTTGTCGTTTGCTTGTATGTTTGAAGCGAACAGTAGTGGGTGCGTGTCCCAGAGGGAACATCAAATCTGGGATATAAGTACATCCAACTAACGAGTCCCAAATAGAACACAACGCGCGTCCTAGATTCCACTATTAGACATTATCCATCTTTGTTTATAATCCTCGTGAACTAAGACAATATCGAGCCAGTCTGCACATGATGTACATATGCCAATGAGTGACTGATCAATTGCAGTGCTAAACATCAATGTAATGATTCAAGTCAACAATATCAATTGAGTTTGAAGTATTATTAGGTTGAAAAAAATGCTCACTGAAGCAATTAAATATTCTCTCTCCTTCTAACAAACTGAAACTCATATCAACTTCCTGATGACACATTAAGATGTAAAGGATTACTAATCTATCTATCAAGTGAAGTTGATCGTAAGTAAAACAAGAATCCTAAGTGTTCAGTGATTCTGTAGATGATACACATCAATCGAATTTCCTTATTTAATTATAACATGGATTCTATTGAATATATTTAAAATAGACGAAAACTAGTAGTCAAACTATTCAAAAACGTATCTTGAAAAAATGGCCAATACCTAAATGAATGCCTTTCAGTTTATTTTTAATTATTATTTCACAGGTCTTACTTATTTTTCTATAAGTTCATTTTACATTAGAAAGGACCTGAAACCTTAAAATTAGGTTAAAGTAAATTAACATCTAAGTAAATGCAATGAGATTGAATAGGGTCTTTATGATAGCAACATATTTAGCTTTTAGAACTTGATTACTAGAGATAAAATAAACTTTTGAATATCACTCATTCTATTTACGGATAAATTATTTATCACTATGTTATACTAATATTGTTGGATTAGTTTTGGTTTTTTGAACAGGGCAAGTTTAAATAAACATGATTGAAATTATGGCGTACTGGATGTTAAGAAATTTCACACCTGAAATTGTGCTTTAAATCCAGGCTCATCCCAACAAGGAAATACACGTCTAGCATCAGTTGGTTGAAGTTGACTAGTTGCAAGATATCTGTAGAAAAAAAAACAGAAATTGAATTTATATATAAATAAGAAAGAATTGAATTAGATGATTGTCAATCGTAAATAAATAAGTAGAAAAATGAATATCGGTTCATTTAGTCATAAGTCATATTCTTACAGAATGAAAGAATCATGAATAAGAAAAACAATAGAGTGTAATAAATATAAAATGAATTTTTAATTTACTTTCCACTTGTTGATTTAAATTTGTAAGGAAAGATTTTCATATATTGTACACTGATACTATTTTTAATGGACAAGTTGTTAACTGAAACTAATGAGGTTCGTTACAGTAAGTGATATACATCATAGAAATGTATGAACCAATTGCAAAGTGGATTTACGACATTTTTTTCGACGAAATGTAGTAAATTAATTATTATAGTTTTACTTAAGCTTAAAAACATTAATAGAATATTGTTTACTTCCATTATCTTGTACATAATGAATATCAACTAGTGATGCTTGTTATTTGTATTATTAATTGTAGGTTGTATTTTTAAACAGTTCAACGTTGTGGAACGCGAATCAGTACCGTTATTGTTAACACTGTGATGTTGTCTAGTTCTTTTATGTACATATCACACCATTAATGATACCAACATTATTAACTATTCAAAATGCGATTAAATGACTATGTAGTATCATTCTTCAATGTTATATCTAGATGCATAGATTCTTAATGTGCAGCGTATAACTTGAGCACTCGAACGCTATGTGGTGTTTGAATTAACTAATGATTCTTTTGTTGTTGTTGAATGCTCGATTTTGAATTCTAAATACAGTACATTCGTTGTGCCTGTGTCTTCTTAATTCAATTGCGTTAATCCTGGAATTCCTAATTCATACTATAATTAGAATACTATATTGGCGTCGCGATGGAGCCTGCAATGGAAAAGTTAGATATTCATTCAACTTCAGAAGCTTTTGAAGATTACTTTGAAAGGTTCGAAATCTGGGCTATGACCAAGGAAGATGATGAGGATGTTAATATTGTGGCATACTATAATTAGAATACTATACGCTAGAACTCTCCCAAGTTGCAAATGAGAAGACAGAAGACAAACGAAAGGGATGTTATTCCAAACAGTGTCAATTATGGTACAAAACTGTCAAGTATTTATAGTTTTTAATAAAAACGAAATCATCATTATAGTCATCCGATCCCCACACACAGGGGGTTTTAGCATTTGTCCAATAGGAAAGGTGCAGGTAGGGATTCTGGAATATTCTTCCAAAAGATGATTGTATAGGATATATTCGGCTCTTTCTGAGCTTCTTAGAGCTTCCTCGAGTTCACCCGTGGACCGTTTTCACATTTAATAATATAAACTGCTTTAGAGTAATGAATACAAATAAATGCGATAAATAGGGGAATCGCATGTTCTCTAAGTCTTTCACTAACTAGCACATACTAAATTAACTTTCATCAAGTCACAGCACTGTATTACGCACAAACATAGTGATCATATCTAAAGTATGGTACACTAATTAATTAGAATTTTGAGAATTAAAGATGAAAAAGGGACGTTATACAGCACGATAGACAATTGTTCCTCTTTAGGGTAGTTTTGCCAGTCAATTACTGTTAAAAGAGACGGTTCATTTGTTATTACAACAATGACAGACATATATTTATGATATGCTTTCGCCATTTATACATAACATTCCTTTAAATAATAAATCAACTGATTCTAATGAGTAATGAAAACCCCTTGTGAATCGGAGTTAATCTTTAAAAAACCTGTTAACCATAACAAAAACATATATTTTTTACAAAGTCTTCATTTCAAAATCGTTCAATAGCCTATGAGACTTCTAGAAAACATCATAAATCTCATGAATTTCAATAAAACACTTCATTACTATTAGCAAACTACAACAATGTTGCACTGTGCTAAAAGGCTGAAAGTAATGGGTTTGCTACAAAAATCGATTTAAAGTAATCAGTCACAGTAAACGCATGTATAAGAATTAGGCAAAAATTATCGCTTTCCATATAGTGGTCCGTTTTCTCTTTATAAATATATTTTTCTAACGAAATGAAACGTTGATACTACTTGTATAAAACAAATGAACTGAAACTAATCTGTTATTATTTTTGATTAAAACTTACTTATATGTTCCATTTTCTATATACTTGCTCAAATACCAACCTTTCAATTCATCGTTTAAAGCTGAACGAAATTGTCCAAAGGTTAATTCATAATAAGTAAAAGGTTGAAGTGAATGTACCAGTTCTATTCTATACCATTCTAAGTCTTCTTCATAAGAAATATTTTTAAGATCAATGTTACCATGTGTATTACCATCATCACTTAGAATAGATATCTAAATAATAAATAATATTTTTAAAGAAATGTTTACATATCTTAAGTATTTACATGAATTACTTTCAAACTATTTTATATAAACATTTATAATGATACATGTACATCGTTGTAACTTGTCAGTTGTTGATTAGTTCTTTTCCAATTACAACTTGAAGAAGTTTAAAAAATTAGTAACTCTAGGACTGTGTTTTATTCAAACGAAGTGTTAGGTATTCGTTAGTAACTAAGACGACTTCAATTATGGTTTTTCGTATTGTTCACATTGATTCTAATGCAAATAATGACAGAAGTGAAACAAAGAATATAAGTAATTTTCTTTAGATCAATACGTAGAATGACCTTTGATCTTATTCATTTCTGTGAATCATAAAAATATCTTTATAAAGGTAATGAGGTACAAACTAATCAATGAAATGTAATCAGTTCGTTTATATATTCACTGTAATTAATTACTATTCCAATATAGAAGTGTGGTCACAGATTGTCTTTAATCATTATTAAAAACGTATTTAGTTTATAAATAATAAAAAAAGTCTTGCTGAATTTAAAACAGAACATACAGAAAAATCTTTGATCATAGAGTTAGTTGAATAATCATTCATTTTGACTAAACAATAAGTCTAAATAGAATACTTACCTATCAATAAACAAATCATTATTTCATTAAAACAAACAATTACATTGATGTAATAATTTAATTACACTATTTAGTTATAAAATAATGTTAATTAAATATTTTACAATACACAATATTACTAACAGCATAGCAACTATTTAAAATGAAAAATTTATATCAGATGGGTTTTTGTGGAGATTGTAGTAGTTTCAATGGTCAAGATCATGAGTCAGTTGAAGCTAGACCACCATGGAAAACCTGGAAGCACTGGACGGCCGTTTCGTCCTATTGTGGGACTCCTCAGCAGTGCGCATCCACGACCTCGCCCCCTGCGAGATTCGAACCCAGGACCTACTGGTTTCGCGCCCGAGCACTTAACCACTAGACCACTGAGCCGGCATCCAACGGTGTTAATGTCTAACTTCAACTAATCCACGAAATTGAGCGACACATTCACCATTGTCTTCAGTGAGTTACTACCTCAATAGGACGAAACGGCCGTCCAGTGCTTCCAGGTTTTCCATGGTGGTCTAGCTTCAACTGACTCATGATCTTAAGCATTGAAAAATTTTTAATTTTCATCAAATGAAAAACTCTCCTTATTGATTTAAAAGAAAAATGGGAATAAATAAATTACAAACTGTATTCATTTCAATTCGATTCAATTTCATTTTCATAACCATATGGAATTGTTGCAGTATATTATGTTGTGCTTTTTGTTGTTGTCGTTCGTCTTCTTCTTCTTCTTCAACATTGAATCATTGTAACATTCATGGTTAAAATAAAATCTACTAAAATACATTAAACATTGGCGACATCCAAATTTTCATCAGGCATATATGTTAAAACAGCAATTGATTCCCATTTAGATACAGATATATATATATATATATATATATATATATATAGGTACACATAACTTCTGTTTCTTTCCCCAATACATTTTTTAAAAACAAAAAAATGTAACTCAATAAAACAGATGTTTAAATGTAGTCAGAAAAAAGAAAGAAAAACAATGAAAAATTTTTCATTTATAAATCAATACAAGTACATGTTTTTTCTTGTATCTTTGCATAGAGTTATATTGATGTTTGTGATTTAATGTTTAGCTCTTTCATTAGACCTTTTCAAAGTTATAACTAAGTAAAGAACAACAACAACAAGTATTACATTTTTAATTGAGATCATGGACCGATTGACGTTAGACTACCATTGAAAACCTCGAAGTACTGGACAGCCGTTTCGTCCTATCGTGAGACTCCTCAGCAGTACGCATCCACGATCTCGCTCAAGGAATTCGAGCCCAGGGCCTTCAATCTCGCACACGAGCGCATAACCTACTGGACCACTGAGCCGGCATCCAATAGTGTTAATGTCTAACCTCAATCAATCCACGAAATTACACGACCATCTCCCAGTAGGTTAAGCGTTCGTGAGCGAGACCGAAAGCCCTGGGTTGGAATCCCACCAGCGGAATTGTGGATGTGCACTACTGAGGAGTCCCACATTAGGAAGAAATGGCCGTTCAGTGCTTCCAAGTTTTCAATGGTGTTCTAACATCAATCGGTTCATGATCTCAATTAAAAATTTAATAATCTCCACAACTACTATACTGATAACAAAAATTACAATTTACATTCTATTTCATTGAAACATTTCCGTTTTGTTAACTAAACACATGTAACATTTTATAGATTTAACTAAGCAAAAATCGATATACCGTACAGTTTCTACAACTTGATGTTTGTGTAACATCAACAGATTAGTATAATCTATTATACGAATAAATATATAATTCAAGAGAATAATGAGATTCATAAGAGTAGTAAGTTTTCAAATGACAGTTTAAACATAATTGTTTTCTTTTTATCTGATCATAAATATTGTAGATGAAAATATGAAAAGAATTTTGAAGTATTATTTACGAAAGTATATAACGGTGATTCTATCGATTTGTCAATATGTGATGTAATAAGGATGTCAATAATGTTTAAAATAGTGACAGAATTTAACAATAACATGCTGGTGAAGTATACATATTTTCCCAGATTGTTAAATAGTAATACTATTATGTTATAAATTTATATTCATTGAGTTGATTTTTTTCTTTAAGATTAAATATATATCATTTCTGATGTTTTGTCAGTAGTATTTTTTATAACTTGTGACTTGAGTGCCCTGCTAATATATAACGTAGTGATAGCGCCAATGAGAGAACAGTGGATTATAGATCGGACTAATGACGCGTAAACCCATACGAGCAGTGTAGAGTCTTTATCGGTCCTGCTTACCGCCTAGCCCAGCCTTTCAAGTCCAGAACACCAATCTTAGCCTCTGCAATATGGATCGTTTAATTCAAGCATACTGGGCTTATATACCAACCAGACAGACCACATAGTACCATAAAATAAGAAACAACATTTATACAAGGTAGCAATTAATAGACAGGGAATAATTCAAGAATAGTAAATTGTATAATAATAGTTCATAAGTCAAAATAAAGCTCATAATAAGAGGGACATGAATATGAATAGTTTAGTTATTTAACAATCGTACGATAAAAATATACGCATAGTACTGGTCCATAAATGGATCCCGAAAGTTGCCATTCATTGTGCTTATCGGAGCATAACAGTATTGTAGTGAATGAGAGCACTAATGAGGGACAACCAAATATATTTGGACTTAAAATTACAGAATCTCTTACTAAAATCTGAGGAACATACAGTAAATATTTTATTTACAAAATGTAAATCAATTTTTTCAAACTTGATTGTTCTTTCGTTTCCACATCAATCATTCTCTGTTCTCGTCCTCTTTTCTTCGATCGACTTAACCTTCTGCCACCAGGTATTTCATTTTCGATTGATGATATATATTACTTATATTTATCGACATCAGTAGTATGCATCATATTATAACAATTTCATTAATAATGTATTCCAATTCATTTGAATTGTAATTACTAATGAACTTTTATAAAAATTTAGTAATATAAATAACTAAGACAGATTCATTCTGGATTATTATTTTTAAATTAATAAATACTTAAATAAATTAATTTAAAATTTATATACAAATTAATAATGAAATGTATAACTTACACTGATTTTATCTAAACTAATATTTAAACGACTATGAGCATGTACAAAGAAGTGTTTAGTAGATATTGAACAATAAATCTTGATAGTAACAGATCCATTAAAAAAGAATGTTTCTGGTTTGCCTTGATGTAAATGTACTTGAAGTTTTAAATCATAGAAACTCGGAATTACTGTATATGGTAATCGTACATCTTTCATTGATCGATTTGACAATGATTCAAGTGCTCGTTGTAGTAGATCATCTGTTACATTTTCTAAATAAATCCAAAAAAAACTTTTGTAATGTCTTAACTTAATGAAACTTAACAATCATTACAAAGTGTAGTATTCACGAATCTTAAGTAAGACATTTAACTATCTATTTCTATCATGTATATTACCGAATCAACGTTTACTAGATTACAGTATAAGATTTCTTTAAGTTAAGAAGTTATTATTGAAAAGATTTAATACAACATTGAAGATTCAAAACTGAATTGATTGTTAATTTTCAAATTTAGCTATCACTCTGAAATCATTATCCTACTACAGTTCTTCGAATTTTCAGTAACTATTTAAAGAATTAAAAAGTAGTATAAATAGATTTACATGTATAGTCTGTACCTAATGAATGTCCATTTTAAGTCATTCAACTATCAGGTTTCCGATGCTTTTCTTTTCTCCCTATGACATATAATCGGTTAGAATTTTAGTCTCTTTTGGAGTTAACTTCAAATAATATATCTAAATATATAGTACTCTTCAGCAAATGAAAATAAATGGAATCAAAGGATAAAGCTTATATTTCAACTAGGATGATTGTTAAATTCATTATCTAACTAACAATTACAAAGAAATAATGTTCATAAATGTTTGAATTGTATCAAAATAAACAAATAAAAAAAGACCCATCTTTACCCACGTTTTTAAAAGTACAAAGGTAAATTTACTACCTATGCAAAATAAAACAAAACGACTCACCTATCATGTCAGGTTTAATACTCAATTATGAAATTTATTATATTTTATCTATAATCTTTCTGTCTTGTGATTATGTTTTATTTCCAATTTCTTAAATACAGTTCCATAATTTATTCTACTATGATGGTAATTTTATTAAATATGTGTCTACTAAGTCTTTTAATCACCAGCTGAGTGTCATCAGTTCCAAAACAGTTTAAAGTATAAAATATTTGAAGAAAAAAACAAATACTTTTTACTCTTTTAATTATTCCTAAGAATAATAAGGTCTAACACCAAACAAGTTCATCCTTACAACCTTGATCAGATTGGTTTGAATAATTTTTTTTCTGGTTAGCGTTTTTCTAACGAGTTAGTTTTCTACGGGATGAGGTTGCTAACCTTATGCACAACGCTTCTCCTTTATCCAGGCTTCGAACCGGCAGAGGGACACCAAGTGAAGTATTAAAAATGATTGTACCTTAATAATTTTTAATAAAGTCAAATAATTGTCAATGTTTCTATTGTTAAATAAACTTACTATCCGTAAAATAATATATTGTTTATTTTCATGTTACCAAGTACATTAAAAAGAAACTATATTTAGTGTTCAATCATTTGAAGTTATCAATCAGACCTTCGTTACGATACGGATGAAGATAATACATCTAGTTAGCTTTATGCTCCCAATCTAAAATGAGTGAACTATTTTAGTTTAGTCATATACTGTATTGTTGTTGCTTATTTTCAGAATTCTATTATATTAGGAAGAATTTTCATTATAATTTTGTTAATCGTTACAATGATTGACTGTTATTATTTACTAATATCGGTTAAATACAATCTAACCTGAAATAAACATCAATCATGTGGTTTTAAGTTTTGTTTTTCATTTTACCAATTCTCTGATTCTTGTATACAACTTGCCCACTTATTAATGTTGTTACTGAGGTCAAGGCAGAAAGTAACTATGTTTATATTTGTCAAACATAAACAAACACATTGAGAGAGAAGCAAACATTAACTAGAAAAACAGAGAAACATCATACATTTATTGGTATTTGTTTTGACAAACGATGTTATTTGTAATAGACTAAAATCATACAGTGTAAAGCAAATTTAGGTAATTCAAAATAAACCTATCATAAGCTGCAGTAGTTTTAGCCACAACGCTCAATAACTTTTTACTTGATTGTGGTTCATACACACATATTGACAAGTGAAATTCTCATTTAAATATTGAAGTTATGGCGATCTCTAATCTGGACGAATCAATTGTAAAGTTTTCATTGTCCTTTTGAACAACATCAGAGAAACTCAAACAGCATCATCATGAGCTATAAATATTCTTTACCGTCTTAAAATGACAGATTTTCACAAATCAAGTTAACTTGGTTCTACTAGTATTAAAATATCTTTAAATAATGAGTTCTTTGTAAGAAGCCATATCTTAAAATATATTGAGACAGTGGTCTCTTAAGAATCTTATACACTTTGGCTTAAAGAGGTGTTTCCAAGAGTTCTAGTAAGAAGCACTGACCAGTGGAGTTCAACAAGATCTGTTGTGAGATACCAACTTACTGAAGACAATAGTGAATGTGTCGCCCAATTTCGTGGACTAGTTGAAGTTAGACATTAACACCGTTGGATGCTGGTTCAATGGTCTAGAGATTAAGTGTTCATGCGCAACACCAGTAAGTCCTAGGTTCGAATCTCGCGAGGTGGGATCGTGGCTGAGCATTGCTGAGGAGTCCCATGCTAGGACGAAATGGCCTTGGATTGCTTCCATGTTTTCCATAGTGCTCTAATTTCAATGAACTCGTGAATTTAACAATTAAATTTTTTTTTTAATTTAATAAAATTATTTCGAATTTACAACTTTATTTATCTATCAAGGTCATGTAAATTATAACTAATTTTTATGCATAATTAAACCTTTAATTAAATTTTATAATTCGAAAAACAAAAAAAAACTCCTTTTTTAATTATAGTTAATGAATAAGAAAAAAAAGGACAAAATAATAGAAAGTTCACAGGTTAATCAACAAAATCAAGATAATAACATAGTTTATATAAACCAATTGACAATTAGTTTAACATTGGTTACTAATTTATTTTTATTTTTTTTTGTGTGTAGATATTTGAGGTCAAGTGATTTTGAGTAAACCAAGAGAAAAAAAAACAAAAAAAATATACAAATTGAAATGGAGATAAACCTGTATAATTAAAGTTTCCAAGAAAAGAGAAATTAATTCTTTAGGCAAAAAATAAATTAAGTTGAAAAGATACAAAATTGTGACAATTTTTTTTAAAATAACCAAAAAAATATAAAAATAGAGAAAATATCATCTTTTACCGTAATTATTTTTAATTATTATGTGTTATTATCAGGAGGTTTTTGTGGAGATTTTAGTAATATTAATAGTTGAAATCATGAGTTAGTTGAAGCTAGACTACCATGAAAAACATGGAAACAGTCCAAGGCCGTTTTGTCCTGGTGTGGGACTCCTCAGCAGTGCGCAGCCACGATCCCACCCCGTGAGATTCGAACCCAGGACATATCAGTCTCGCGCGCGAACATTTAATCTCTAGACCATTGAGTCAACATCCAGCAGTGTTAATGTTTAACTCTAACTAATCCACGAAATTGAGCGACCCATTCACTGTTGTCTTCAGTGAGTTAGTATCTCACAACAGATCTTGTTGAACTCCACTGGTCAGTGTTTCTTACTAGAACTCTTGGAAATACCATTTGAATTCAGTCACTAGTGAGCATATGTTGTTTACTATCAGAAGGGGTTATTAGTTTTAATTATCTTAAAGAAAATTATTATAAGAAGGAAGGTTTTGTGGAGATTTTGGTAAGTTCAATAATTGGATTCATGAGTTGACTAAAGCTGGACGACTATGGAAAACTTGGAAACATTGGATGGCTGTTTCGTTTTTGTATGGGACACCTCGAAAGTGTACATAAACGACCTTACATGTGGGATTCGAACCCAAGACTTTTGATCTTACACGTGAACGTCTAAACTTTAGATTAATACTTCTAGGTTTTTCAATAGTGTTTCAGCTTATATCAGTTCACGAATTCAACTATTAAAATTTTCTATAATTGTTTTCAGTTGAAAAGATCTTACAAAATGAATGTGAACAGATTAAGTTCACATATATTCTCTTTTATTTTTTTAACACATATAGAAATGAATATTGATTTGAAAACCTAAACCAACTCATTGTACATATTATCTCTGTTTAAATGACAATTTTATCCGAGTAACGTCTAAATATGTTTCAGTAACAATCTAACATGAAAATGTAGAGTGAAAGTTTTGAATAAGCTTCATACTTCAAATAAAATTAATCATATACTTCGTTAATAGAGAACTACCAATGAAGTTTTCCTTTTTAATTTACGCAATACTAAATTGATTTCTGCACTGTTACATATATATGAAAATGAGTCAATGCATCATAAGCTCTGATTATTTTATTTTACAACCGGCTAGAATTTGCCAAGTTTTGATGTTTGTAAAGCAACAATATTATTTTTTACTTGAAGTAACTAGGTAACAGATTGATAACATAAAATTATAGCAAGTATTTAACTGCTCTTGCGTTTCTCATGAATACTTTCATGATTTCTGGTTTAGACAATGACATCTTACGTTTCTGAGAATAACGCAAGATATTTGAAACCGTCGCAATGTTATGAACTCTTTATTTAATCATACTAACTCACAACCTATCCGACCAAAAGTATATAATCAAAAACACAATGCCTAAGCGAAATACTTATCTAAAATTGAAATTATTGACACATAGTTAAAGTAATCTTATTTAAAAGATCAACCTCTTTATAGAAATAGATTAATTCCTTGAAAATTCTTGGACCACGTTGCCAGGCGAAACGTTGTATTTACTTCAAATTCATTCGCTAAGATTTTACAAATACATTCTTTCTCTTTAATGTCTCAGAGATTAATAAGGTTTCTTTAAACCTTTAGTTTGTAGGCGTGAGTACCTTATGAGCGGACTGTTGAACTAGCTAAAATATTCACTATTCAAGGATAGAAATGAACCCAAAATCTAAAATGATGTAACAGTTCTTCATCTTAATTGTAAATATGTAATGTAAACGACAGATACAAGATACTACATTTTGCCTACATCAACCTTTAAATGAATCCAATATTAAATGTTTTATGAATTAAATTATCAAAATTTCATTTCTTAACCTCATAGAATTGTAACAAGGAACATTTAAATTTGGATGGAAAATAAAGTTCCTACTGCGATCTTCAGACTCCTTGCAAAATATTGTCCGATTATTAAATTAATGGATGTTAATTTTGTTGAAAAAAATGTTACTCTTGTTTCAAATAATTGACACGGGTACCATTTCCGTAAACATTATATTTCACTTGTTGTTTTCAAAAGCTGAAATATGTTAAGGTACTATACCGATAAAGAACTTGTCATCAGTACGATATATTGCTTTGGAAACTCCGTAACCTAAAATTCTATCAATAATAGAAAAGTTAATAATTCTGTTTCTAACTATGCTGTATATAGCCAGAATAAAACACATCGCATGATGTTGTAATTTCCAACAGTTAACCCAGCTTGTAGAAATATATGAGTAATTAATTTTTCTAATCCATATATCACCAAATGTAGCTACTGACAAAAAGTCTAACAGTTTCTTTAATACAATTGATGTTCACATAATAGAAATTAGATCATCGATAGTGTCATTATAGTCAAAAATATAATATGTATACATTGTACTACTAAATAAAAAAAAAGATTGAAATACTTTATATTTTCATTCGAAAAACTGACTAGACTCTAATTTATGGACGAGCCAATCAGAGACGTCTTAGAGATTTCAAGGTTACGGCGCCAACTTCAGTGCTTACTGCTAACGTACGTTCGATTCACAGGTAGTGTTTTACAAAACGTGATGATTGAGCAGCTATAACAAATAAAACGGTGAGACTATAATTTGTGGACTAATCAATCAGGTATAAGATTATAGATCTAGGATTTTAACGCGAAAGCCATTTATCCATTTGACTAAATAAATTTCTGGAATTATAGCTGATGTCAGCTCGTGATGAAAACCCCCATATATAATTCCTAACTAGGGCAAATTACGAAAATTATTGCGAACTGGATAATAAAAGCACCAGTAACACTGCCTGCAGCCAGGTACTACAATATATACGGATGTTTGGAGAGCGTACAGACTCCTACATATGCTTGGTTATGTCCATCGTGTCGTTATCCACAAGTAGCATTTTGTTCACTCAACAACCGGAGTGCACAGAAATAATATTGAGGCTATGTGTTCGAGGCTGAAAGAGCTTTTGAGACTTTATCATGGCTCCAGAGGCCGACTATTCTGTAGCCGTATGGATGATTTCATCTACTGCATGCATTACGATTTTAGAACCTCTGAACCTATTTCTAACTTTGACAAGTTTTTGAACCACGTATAAGAAGTGTATCCACTTTATTTCCTTGGTTTTGTATAACATCTTTTTACTCTATGCAGACAGTTTTCTGATTGGCTAATATTTCTCAAGCTCACTTAAGATTTGTCCAAAGGCTGTCCATAAATTAAAGTCTCGCCGAAAAACTAAACATTTCATAAACATCAAATGTATAAGCAATAAAAGTGGAACATGAAATCAGCTGTTTGTTTAGGCTTATTCAATTTTATTACAATTTCTTTTTATGGTAATCATTCATACAGTTTGCATGTAATTACACCCATTGTTAAGTTATAATATATTTTAATAGACTACTAATAATACACTTATTTCTTATTCTTTACTTGAGTAATAGAATTGATAAACTAAACACTAGTTAGTTTATTTTGTAAGACTCAATTGAAGTTTATTTTGAGATGAGAAATTAAGTAACATAGTGGATTAGAAATAAACTTTATAATAAACTCAATTGAATTCACTTTCCATGTAAACTCTGAAAACAGTACACTACATTTTAGTACTGAAAACATGATAAACGACCGTACCTGTCTAGTTCACTATGAAATTCACAATGATTCGAATCAATAAATGATTTGTATTATTCGATCTTGGATAAGACTGTACAACTAATTATTTCTTGTTTTATAACTTTCATCAACTTACATAGTCGGGTAAATTCATTTTAATGGTAAACTAGCAAATGTTCTAAGATTTAACGAAATAAAAAGGATTAGGTTGACAAGAATATACTTGATAATACATATATATACGACAAACAATGTCGTAGTAAAAAGAGTTCTGTTTTACAATCATCCTAAATGTGATTTATTAAATCTGATCAACAATTTGAGAAATAGTTCAGAAATGGTAAAAAAACTACTTTGCTTACCTGAAGTACAAATTTCATCAAGCTCATTACATTTTAAATGATTGGTCTCAGCATCTGAACAAAACAAAGAGTAAAATAAATGGGAATATGATGTAAACTATAAATCAATATAAAACGTTTGATTTACCTTCTTCAAAACAAAATAATTATGTAAGTTGTCGAAATGAAAGCCCATAGAGTTTCAAACACACACGATGAAATTGATATATCACTCAGGGCAATAAGTTTATTAGATTGGCCTATAGTTTAAAGTTAAAACTAGAAAGACCTTTCATTGTATAAAATATGAATAGAACTATTTATAATATTTCTTAAAAACAACAAGATGGATGGTGGCTAGCAATGCAAATTAGAACACGCATTTCGTCCTATCTGGGACTCGTCAGCTAGATTTACATGCATCCCAGAGTTGATGTTTACTCCAGGACTCAAACCCAGTACCGTTTGCTTCAAACGCTATTGCATTATCTGCTTAGCTACTGAGTCTTGAAAGCCACTTGCATGTGCAATAGGGTAACGTTTCCTTTCGTTTTTTTCAGAAAATAATAAGTGGAGAATTTCACATTGAATAGTGAAACAAATCTCGAAATTATTCAACAGCTGATCTTAGATAAGTATGAACATTAACTTCAAAAAACTAAATGACTTCCTTCCATTACAGACTTTAGTAAATCTCATTTTCACCCTAGAGACTAACTCCGAGAGAACGTCCTGAAATTTCAGTGAGTAGCCAGTAATAGTTACGAAAATGTATTTAGTAGAAGTGACAGATGTCAGTGGCGATATCTTATAATGATCGCACAATATCACAGATAGGCTGAACTGAGAAAGGTCGATAAATGGATTTTTACTTGATAGTTCTAATGTATCATCCTAAAAAAGATGAAAATCTAACAGTCCTGTGTTTGGTCTCTTGTAAAGTATTTGATGAACAATACCAAGAAGTTTTGCACAAAAACAAAATAGTTTTCTAGTGTTTCTTGGTTTGTTATCGCTTTCTAGATAATGCTTCTCTTGAAAAAGGGTCATACAAGCAGTAAACGTTATTACATTTAACGACGTTTTGTACATAATTGATAATGTTTGCTAATCACCATTAGATTATTCCGCCTTTCTTGTTTTTTTAATTTCTCCACAAAAAATGTATCAACTAAAATAATACATTGTGTGTATCTATGATAATCATGAATAATTCCCAGACATCATAAATCTTTAGAAATTCGTTTAGCAAACATTTTTCGATAAAATCAATATATTTTTTGTTGAAAAATTAAACTTAACCTATAACAACTAGATAAATAATTCAATTACGAAAGTTTTCCTATATTCCATTAACCTTCCTGACAACTTTGTACTATTCTTATTCAGATCACTTAGTTGGAATTTTGATATTTTTCTGATTTATTTTTTTAAGACTAAAGCTTACTTAACAAAATCTATTTACTTTAAGCAAACAATTATTATTTACTGTTCTTTATTTATGATTCTCTTTCATCAGTATTTGAATGTATTATAATGAGTTAGTTTTTTTCCTTATACAAGTAGAATCAGAGTTTTTGAAATTACGAGTCAATTCAAAGTAGATCAGCGTTGAAAATCTGGAAGCACTGGACGGCCGTTCCGTCCTAGTATAGAATTCCTCAGCAATGCGCATCCACGGTCTAACTCGTATACGATCGTGAGACCTATAGGTCCTAGGTTTAAATCTAACGAGCAGCAGTCCCTTACTGGGACGAAACGGCCGTCCAATGCTTCCAGGTTTTCCATGGTGATCTTGTTTTAAGTGACTCATGATTTCGATTATTAAATTATTAAAATCTTCAAAAAACTACTTTTTGATAAGAATCAGATTTGATAAAAGACTAAATTAGAAAAAAGTCATCTACTTGAATATTTAATAAGAATTTTTTACTAAGTAAATTTCGTATCATTGATGAACAGGGTGGATCTGATGAAGATATGAAGGCGCGGATCGGCAGAGCAAGAGCAGCATATCTACAACTGAAGAACAACTGGGATCAAAACAACTGTCAACCAACAACAAATTCAGAATTCTCAATACAGATGTCAAGACAGTTCTCCTGTTTAGGGCGGAAATCTGAAGAACTAACACAACCATCATACAGAAGATACAAGTGTTTATTAACAGTTGTCTACGCAAAATACTTTGGATCCGTTGGCCAGACACTATCAGCAACAACCTAGTATGGGAGAGGATTGACGATATGTATATTTCAATAGCAACCATTCGTACAATCCAAACACTGTTAACACTATCTTTTAATGCTTTATAAATCTTCTTTAAATTATTAATTATTATTACATTGTCAATTAATTCCTCAGCTTTTTCATACTCATCAAATGAATAATCATTATTCATATATGTGACTTCATTTTACACAGTATTTAACTTCACGTTCATCACACAAATCTCTTTAGATGAGTGGAGTTTTCAAACATTTTGTTATGTAATACACCTTCCTTTTTTATTAGATTACATTATTTGTTAAATTACTGTAAATGTAATTGTTTAACTTGTTTTATCTTTAAATCTTCTTTAATTAGATAATAAGTTTCTTTCATTAATTAAATATAAATATATATTTTTTAACATAAAAATTATTAGTAGACAATAAATTCAATATTGTTGCTATGGTTTTAAAATAGATCTAGAATAAGACTGTCCAGGTCAAAACAATAAACCCAAAAATATTGTTAATCAATAAAGCAATTTAGTTTCAGTAAAAATAAAACCCGGATTTGTGTACCTTAGAATGAATCAACAACTGAATGTTTCAAATGTCAAACAACATAAGATAGTTATATTGTTTCTGTATTCAATGAACATCTCTTTCAATGAAATAACTGTATGAACAGTTGAAAATGTCTATCCTATATTATTTATTTACACATTACAGTCATAAAGTAAACGTACCATTCTGCTAGGATACTCCTTTATTCTTTAATAATGTTTTTTTCTCTGTCACTATTACATATTGATTTCATCAGCTGCCTTAAAAGGGACTTCTTAAATTCAAGACAAAACTACACACTGATACAATCTAAATGTCACAATGTCGAACAAACGTTTAAAAAAAAACAATCAATTGTTTGTTAGTGGTAGTTTGTAAAAGATATATCACTATATTTTGGGGTATTGTCTTTTTCATAAAGTAATGACCATTCGAATGATTTATAATTAACATGACGTAATAACTACTAGTATCAGTTCATAAATAGAAATAATCAAAGTGTTCTACATGTCATCTATGTCCAAACTTTATTTTCTTCACTGATATATTGTAGGGTATAAGTAAATATACTAGCAACAAAATATTTTTCATTAAGAAATAACATTTCTAATTCCCATGCACAAATGTAAAATACATTTGACAATTATGCTTTTAATGCGTCATCATATTATGTAAATGATAAATGTCAAAATGACAATAATTTAGATCACCAATAGATAGGACGATACATATACATAGTGTAATAAACTGATGAATGACTTATAAGATTCATAATTCATAATCATTTAGGTTCTGAATTATTCTTAATTGTTTAGTTTGTATTAAATATTTTGTATAAAATCTCAATTTCTTACACAAAATGACTCTTTTTCAAGTTTGTACTTGTCTTTACTTAGTAACTATAAGTCAATAAATTGGATTTGTTGTAATCCGATGAGAATAATGAATGGTAGTTTTTGGGATCCATTTATGGACCAATATTATGAGTATATTTTTATCGTATAATTGCTATGTAACTAAATGGTTCTTATTCATGCCCCTCTTACTATGAGCTTTATTTTGACCTATGAACTATTATTATACGATATACTATTCATGAACTATTCCCTGTCTGTTAATCGCTACCTCCCACATTCACAGCCACATCTGGCTAATTATTGTACAAATGTTGTTTCATATTTTATTGGTACGTTGTGGTCGGTTTGATTGGTATATAAACTCAGTATGCTTGAAATATAATGATTCATATCTCAGAGACTGGGACTTGCGTTCTGAACTCAACTGGCTGGGCTAGACAGGGAAGCGGGACCAATCAGAACTCTAAACTACTCTCACGTGTTTACGCGTCTTTAGTCCGATCGATAATTCGCTGCCGTCTAATCAGCAGTCCACAGTTATAACAGGATTACTGAGTAACTATTCCTCACCCACACTATTTAGATGGTCGTACATATTTTTTTAAGAAACTCGCAATAGAAATGGAAAATTATTGAAATTACTAACAGATTTGTTTATCATTTAATTATTTTTCCCGAGTTACTTTTCGTTCGATATATTCTTTTGATTCTAGTTATTTTTTATGTTTTTATCTGTATAGCTGAAAATTGAATGAAATGTTTAAATGAACGCGAACTAATTCATTTACAAAATGCATTAATGTTTTTGCTGAACTACTGATAAATATGTTAGTAAATCTTTACATTTAATTACTTATAGATTAAGTATTTAATGAGTAATAACTAATGTCATGTTTATCTAGTCTTCAGTGTTAATTGGATTCTATCGATCATGTTGCAATATGGTTACTAGAATGCATTATATGTTAATATTAGTTGGTTGACAGTTGTTAGAAGGAAACACTATACCTATGTTTTGAGTTATTTGGTAAACGTTATTAATTACATTTTAACATGACTGACAGAATCCGATTAACAATCAGAACTAGATAAACATGACTTTGGTTATTGCTTAGTAACCAATCAGTATCAATATATCATTATTACAGGAGGTCAAACGCTTCCTTGGATAGCTTATTTGTAAATTCCGGAACTGTAAAACTGAGTGGCGTGGATTCAAATCATATGGAAGACACGCTTTCACTCAAGTTTACAGCGACGCCTTGATAATAAGTTCCAGACGACATTTAATCTATGTCCATCCGAATGCCACTAACTATACAAAACAGAAAATGTGTTTCTATGGTATGCTTAGCAGATGGTTAATTTACAGCCATTTGAAACAGTAGTATTAATCAAGTGATAAAATTTTACAAATTATGAATCTCAAGAAGGCTTTCCCTCA